CCCGGGCGTTCTCGCCAACATCGAAATAGAAAACCTGCACAAAAACCAAAGAGACGGGATACAGTAAACAAACCAGAGGAGATCAGGTTGCTGAAACAGTAACATGAGGTGAACTGGAAACACACAGACGACTTGCGTTACACGCGACACGGTTCAAAGCCCGCTCCGACTTGCATCAAGCTAGCTGGAGCAAAAGAAAGAATTTTAGCGAATACGAATCGTAAGTGAACGACCTAAAACGTAACGGCTCACGAAAATAGAGAAAACAGGCAAGCGAGAACCTGCAAAGCGGACCGGAAGACTAATCTAGGACCAGGAAATATTCGCGGACCAGGAGACTAATCGCGCACCTTGGTGTCGAGCTGCAGTTCTTTGCTGCTGAGCTCCGCGTCGTTGGCGCCATTCGCGTAATAGTTAAACAGATCCACAAACCACACGACGCCGGCCAGCGGCACGATGATCGTTGACCGGTTCATCGCGGTCTTCTCGCTGATCTTAAGAAACCGGCCCCGCGGGTTGTCTTTCAGGTCGAGATAGAAGAGTTTCTGCTCGATCTGGAGAGATCTGGACATGAGCTCCATCTCGCCGCCGCCCATCCCGCTGCCACTAGGAGCTGGCATCCCGCCGTCCATCCCTCCTGATATTCTAACGTGGATCCCAAGATCGTATCGGGGAAAGTGTTAAGTGGTTAGTTGGAAGACCTGCTTGGCAGCTAGGTGATAGCGGCCCGAGGGAGAGGGTTTTACTCCGCACCAAAACCCTGCTTGTTTGGCGCTAAGATCAATACGTAGGGGTCACCCACCACCTGCAGCAAATCTGGCAGTCACCAACGGGATCTTCTTGTCACAGCGTCTACAGCAGGAGTGCCCGGGGAGGGAAGCTCGGACGAATAAGGAGCAAACACGAGACGGTGAGGATGTAGGAGCTGGTTATGAATGAGGGCGGAGGACTCGTACTGCTGAGCTGAAATCGAGGCAGGGGGGAAATATCTTCCCCTTGGCGCACTCGCGCAAACCCCAGCCAAGGCTCTGCCCTATATCTCCCCAAACTTCGGAGCGCCGCAACTCCTGCATGCACCGAGCCTCCCTAAGCCTCCGTCCAAAACCAGATCTCAGCGCTCGCGCGCATTTTACGAGCTAGACTGGCTGGTTCGGCATTGCCGCGTGGGAATCGCGCTACGTGTCAGCTAATTGTGCTGGGGTGGCCCGCTCACTGCCACGTCAATCAGAATCATCAGGTCCGGCTTGCGTTTCGGCTCTGAGATTTCGGGAAAGCAGCCCCAGCCATTCCCAAGGCGCCGTTCAAACAGGGGCTGAAGCGCCCAACTTGATGACAACGGGCTGGAGAGCCCATTTTCTGTACGAAGGAAGAAGTGTACCATTCCGAGTCCCGACACCGAACCACATTCAAACCAACAAAAATGATCCAGCCTCAAAATCAGAAAGCCCAAGCTCTAAAAGCAGTCAGCATGTAGTAATGAGAACGGCGTGTACAAAATGCAGCAATTTGTCATGCATCAAGCTCATTTAATAATACCAGTAGCGCACAAACATATGAAACGATCAAATCCTCCTCTCTATACTGTGGACACTAAGTGCTAGTATCAAAGTACATTTTCTCAATGGACGCATTGGCAGCATCAAAATCAGCACCCTTTGACCTCGCAACCTCTTGGTCAATTCGTGCTGCCATCCTATTCACCTCGAGTCCGAAGTAACTGTCTTTTATGTTCAGCAGGGAGGCGAGCACTCGACTCATGGAGGGACGGGATGCAGACGGCATGGCAGTGCACCAAGCTATCTGGTGCTTCCAAATGAGAGTCTTTGAACGATTGCATGTTATTGGATGCCACTAGCGGAGCAGCCCATGTCTTGAGGTTGAGGTTGACCTGGTCTTCTTCCATGCTGAAGACAGCCTTGCGTGCCGTGAGCACGGTTAACATCACTACACCAAAGCTGGTATGCAATAGGATGGGAAGAAAAGAATATTACGGGGGTGCTTGTTTGCACAGCTTATGGCCACCAGATCTAGGCTCAACTTCTTACTTAGCTAACAACGAACATGCGATCCTCAACAAGTTACAAAGAACTGCTCTGAAGAGCGAAAATAACGGCTGGAGGATTGGAAAGTCGCACATGCCATAATAATGTCACAAATCTACACACCTGTACACATCAGCCATGGGAGTGGCCTTTTGTGACTTGCAGTAGGCGGGATCCACATACCCCGGCGTTCCCATCACTCGAGTGGCCGCCACTGATGTGCCCTCCCCATGCCTCACCAACCCAAAATCAGCAATCTTCGCCGGTTGTGAATGGCACAAGCGTTGTACAAAGGCAGATATTTCATAGCAGCCACACCCAACATAATCAATAAGACTTGGTTTCACAGCCGTTCATCCAACATCGCTAGTTTTTATATACCTTCAGGCTTTCATCAAGGAGGATATTGGCGGGCTTGATGTCGCGATGCACGATGCCAAACTCATGAAGGTACTCCAGGCCACGAGCCAGGCCTATGAGAATTTCCAGCCGCTGCCGGATCGTCAATTGCTGCTTAGCGGCTGAAAGCGGGGGACAAAACATCGAGGGTTGGAAGGAGGGATTGTCATGAAGCCGAGGTTTCAAAGAGGAGGTAACAGAGTACGATGATGCAAAGATGGAGAGGGGAGGAGAGTGAGAGAAAGAGTGTGTGAGTGGGGGGGGGTCGGAGGGGGGGGGTTGAGGGGGGAGAGGGGGGAGAAGTTTTCTTACTAGGGCCGATCCAGTGTTCGAGGTCGCCATGGGGCATGAACTCGTAGATGACGATCTGCTCCATCCTCTCCGTCACAAGGCTGAAGTCCAGGCAGTACCCCACCAGCCTCACCAGGTTCGGATGGTTTTTCGTCGCCATCTCCTTCACCTGCCACACCGCAACAACAAGACATGTAACAGCAATGTAACGACAGCATGTAAGGCATGGCAGAAAAGGGCAGTTTGCATCAGGGCAGACATGGCAAGTCAAACTGAGAGACATAGTCACTGCATCCCATGATAACACCTCGCGTTTGAAGTCGTTGGTGAGGACCTTGGTGCGCTTGCAACACACTACCCTTGATCCTTCTCTTTCCTACCTCTTCCCGTTTCCCTCTACCTCTCTCTTCTCTCCTCCGTGTCTTCCTTTCGTCCGCACGCAGGCCCACCTCGCGTTTGAAGTCGTTGGTGAGGACTTTGGCGCGTTTAACAGCCCAGACGAGCTGAGGTTTGTGGGGGCACTCGCCCTTGTACACATCTTCGAAGCTGCCTCCCCCAATGCGCCTGCTCTCCGCCCACTCGCCCGTTGCCTGCACCACTTCCGCCAGTGAGTACTGCGCACACACCTGCTCCTGCCCGCCGCTCCCCACTCCCAACACTGCCATCTCTCCTGCAGCATCTGGTGCTTTGCTTAAAACCCCTGAGGCTGGCGCTGTTTGAAAGACAGACTCGCCGTCTCCCACTCCCACTGCAGCCGCCGCCCCTGCCGGAACAACTACAACCGACGCCATTGCTGACGATGCTGCTGGTGTTTCTTCTGATGATGCGGATGCGGATGCGGATGCAGATGTTACCGTGGCTGATTCTGGCCGGCTTGCTGCCTCGGGCTGGATGATGTCTATTGCAGTTGGTGATTCAGTCGGTGATTCAGTCACATCTGGTCCTCTCCTGCCTCGAGTGGGTGGCATCTTTGCTCCTGCGCATGGTGTACGATGCGTCCTTGTGGCAATGGCAGCTACCCCTCCTGCAGCTGCGCCCACTCTCAAAGCCTCTTCCGTCGTGTCATCTCGTGGACGAAATGGCATTGCGGGTTGGGAAGCTGGTCCTTCTCTGGGCGACTGAAGATATTTAGCCCCTGCTCTTGCCCCTGCCCTTGCTCCCTTTGCCTTTGCCCCCGCTCCTTCCATTTCACCTGCCCTTGCTCCTTCCCTTTCTCTTTCCGTTCCCCGTCGTCTCCTTCCGCGTTCAGTTCCTGCTTCCCTTCTCCCTGCCGTTCCTCCTGCCGGTGCGCGTGCGGGAGGCGGCCCTCGTCGTCGCACGTACAGAGCGTGCATGTTGAGGGGCGACGAGGGACACGTTCCCAGCCATGCGTCGTCACATTTGCTACCGTGCTTTGCTCTCCGTCCTACCAACCATCGCAAGAATCGCAGTGGCCAAACTTTGACGACTCGTCGCTCCGCGTCCATATGTCTTCCCTTCTACTTCCTTTCCGTTCGCTGTCGCGACTCTGGGTTCCTGAAATGGTTGTTGATGGGATGCATTAGCTACAGGTTTTCGGCCTAACTGCTCCCAAGAGTGCCTGACCTTGCTTCGCACTTTGCAGCCTACTCAAGCTGAGCCACCAAATGAAAATGTGTTTCCCAAGATGAGCTGGAAGAATGGGGTTGCGCGCAGATGGGATCGGAACGGAAACCTTGGCGTGGGTGGGAGGAGGCGCGAAGGGGAGGGAGTCCATCCTGGTTTTACTTGGTTGACTTCAACGGACCGTCTTCTATGTGAATGTCAGATCTTTTACTGTGTTCTATCATTCACCTTGTTGTGATGTAATATATTGTAGAAGTTGAAGAAGATTCTTACAAATATCGGAGCAAGCCATGCGAGCCGAGATTGCTCATTTGCAGCATTGTGACAATTACGGAATTCCGGGTCCAGCGCGACTCGCAAACTCCCTACAAGATCATTCTCAGACGACAATTTCAAATCGCATGTTTCGCACATTCATCGAGCCGCCTTGACGAAAAGGTACGGTTTTGGTTGATATCACCCTTATTTAATAGAGTGTACAGCTAACAACGCTTACATGAGTCTCGTTGCGTACTTGTCTTCCGCTTTGACGCTGACTCTCCTACGCCGTAGCCGCTTTCGCCCCTGTCACGAATGTATGAGCCAATTTCTAATAATGCCCAGACAGAAAGGGCAACTGCCCAATTGTTGACATGTAGTTCGTGCTGGGTGAGAAGTTTGCCAAAAGATCCAGCGGCCAGCCTGATGACTTCTAGGCTAGGCTCATCCGCAACCGCCATTGCCCAGGGTTCCATAAATGGAGAGCCTTTTTCAGTCCGAACCGAACAAACCAAACCGCATCCTGTGAGCTGTGCATTTTCACGACTTTCAACCAAGGTGAGGTCTTTGACTCGTTTAGCATCATCAAGCTTCTGCTATCACCGTGTCCCACATTGTTCCACCCGAAAGTCCCTTGACAATCATCCCGTCCGATTTCGCTGAGCTGCTTCAAAGCCTCAAACACATAGCTGCCATCACACTTTCCCAATCGCATTGCTATAACGCCGCAGGCCATTAGCCAGAAGGAGAATTTCTGCTGTATCAAGTCGCCAACAGCTATGGCTTTTCGTGAGATACGGTTTCGCCTCTACTCAGCGCGGGGAGTCAAGCGACCAGCGCCGCACATAGCCATCCATCCCGTAGCTGTGGTGTCACTGCCGGGGTTTGATCCCACGACCTACCAGAGCAGGCGTATGGACGAGCCGTGCGACGACCCCAAGTGGGACGAAACGTTCATCTTTCAGATTCGCGCCGACTGTGTTCGCACTGCTGCTGCGGTAAGCGCTCTTTTCAGATTAACTGTGTGTTTTATGGTTGCGGCAATTACCACTCACCTGTAGATTCGCTTTATCAATCATACTAACTATTCTACTGCATGTTCCACCTGCTGTGTTTTCCAAAGCAGATTGTGATTCAGGTATTTAGCGACAGCGACCTCTCTTTCTACTGTGGCGCTGCAGTCGTCCGCCTATCCGTGGCGCAAGCGGAAAAGCACCGCATTCCGCTCGTCGACCAATCCGGTGTCAGAAACGGTTACGTAAAGCTATCAATCGCCATAAGTCAACACATCATAACCGAGACTGAAACGGTCGGCCCATTCGAAGGGGCCCACGCGGGATTCGTCGGTGCACATGCCGGAATGATTGCCGGGCCGGGTGTCCTTGTCCCGCCTCCTCTGCACGCCGCCCCTGGTACTGGCGCCTACATGCCCGCCGTGGGGCCTTATGGCGCGCCCGTTGCCCATCCTGCTCCTTTCGCGGGGCTCTCACCGCCGCTGGGTTACATGGGCGTTCCTCCGCCTGTGGCGGAGGAAGCGGGTGAAGGATGGGATGAGGAGAACGCTGAGGCGGAAGGGATGGTGGGAGAGCGTCCCCCGACTCTGAAGAGCGTTGGGCGGAGCAAGAGCTGGGGGCAAGGGCTGTTCAACGGGATCATGCGCATGGTGCGGAGCAAGTCTGGGCGGTTCGAGAAAGAGAAGGAGAATGTGCAAGGTGATGAGGCGGGACAGGGGCAGTTCGAGAGTAAGGAGTGGCATGGGGAGACGGAGAATGTGGAAGGGGGGAAGAAAGAAAGGAGGCTTAGGAGAGGAAGGAGCATTGGGAACTGGCTCGGACTGGGAGGAGACCATGGGGAGACGCCATTTGATGCGGAGGGGAAGGGTATTGCGATGGGCTGGGGTATGGGCTTTGCTAGCGCCAGTGACATGGATAGGGTGACAGGTGCAGCGCCAGGTGGCGGAATCAAAGCCATCGGTTAACAAATGGATTAGTGAGGCAACCATTTCCTAGGCTGCTCTAATTGTTAGGTTGTATGTTATATTCTTTCAGTTTGTAAGCGGACCAACTTATATCTGGATTGTTGCTCATATGTGTTGTACTGTATCGCATCGAGATGACTCCCGCCAGCCATGGTCGGTGGTCATCAATATCCACCAATGAGTTTCAGCCTTGCTGACGGCGCTTTGAGCTGACATTCCTGGTTTGAATTTCAGGCAACCCTGACGGGCAGTTGTTTCTCCCGCCAATACTCACCTTCAGACCTGCCATACCTTCGCAGGGCTGTCGATTGGTTCCAGGCCAACACTTGAGAGTCTGAGGTGCCCGTATTTCAGCCCTGAAATCTCCGGGAAGTGTCCTTTTCCGAGCCTTTAAGCGTCCGGGAAAGCACCCAACCAAAAACTTAAATTCAGGGCTACACTACAACAATCAGGGCAAACTCTATATAACGAAAACTAATAAAGGCAGAGTTAATTTAGAGCTGCAATCTACCAATCTACTTTCTCAACACTAATAACTAAGTGGCAGGCTTGCGGCGCTTCTCCCCGTCGAAGATCTGGTACACACCTGCCCAGTCCACGTCGTAATCTAGCATTTTCACGGTAGGTTGGGATAGGATGGGATGGGATGGGATGGAAAGGGAAACACGGGAAGGGAGAGGGTGGGGGGGGGGGGAGGAGGACTGTGAAATTTTCCGGGTAAGGCCGGAAAATTCCACGGGGAATCAGGGAAACCCTCCAAGAGGCCCCTGTAAGAATCAGGGGAAGGCCCAGCCCACGCCCGTTATCATTCCGGGCTGTACAAAAAATCAACCCTGAGAATCTGGACTTTGGGGCAAAGTCAGACCTTAATGTTCAGGGCATTAAGGCCATATGCCCTTGAATCGACAGCCCTGCTTCGCACAGCGAAAATTGTGGCAGCTGCAGCTGGAAAACGTGCCCAGAAACGCTGGTTCCCCTTCAATGTCTGACGGATTGGGGATGTGAAGGGCAAAACCGTCAAGAAAAACCTTTCAACATCTTCTCAAGCATTCGAGTCGCGGCGGAAACAGCTCTAACCGAGTCGCTTTCTGCGGACCTGCCCCGGATATTGCCACCCATGACCAATAAGGGACAAGGAAACATTGCGGCAGTCAGCGAGAAATTGTTGAGAAAAAATTTGCGGGCCAGACATCACTTGAAAAAAGCCCCGACCCGAAACTATCCTTTCCTTACCTGCCGCATTTTCAGTTTTGATGGCTGCCCCTGCCCGAGTCATGCAGTTGGTTCGCTGTCGGCCATTCTTCAGGCCAGCTGTATGCTCTCTCTTCCCCCCTCCCATCAACCCCACGACACTTGCCATTCCCCCAAACCAACATCCTCCTCCCATCCATACGTCGCTCGACAGAAAGGCAGCCCGCCGTCACCATCCCCGTAAACCATGCGCCGTCACTAATACCTCAGGAACTTCGAGCTAGCGGGCGTCATTAAAACTCTGCTACCCCTAGATTGAATGCGCGCGCGCGCGCACTCGGTGCGATCGTCATGTTACCTAGAGTCTTGCGGGCGGAATCGATCAGCAAGCAGGCTGTACAAACGGTAGATGGCAGCAGACTTTACGCGGCCAACCGTAGCAGGCGCCACGTCCTTATGGCAATCTGCGGTCGTTTGAGCGCTACGCCTTATCAGTAGCGTTCTGACTCCGATCCGCGCTGCGGTGTTAGCTCGAGTTTTTGTCAGCGGATGCTTTTGAAGTTGATTCGACACCTCCTTCACAACTCGTGACACCAGTCGTGTTCATTCCCCACTTCCATCCCCGCAATCGGTGATTTAACGCCGTACGCTTAACGTCGTCATGGCGCATCGACGCTGCTCCGCACTCCTCCCGCGGAGGAGCACCAAGGGTCGGCTGGGCGACCTCAGCCCCGCGTCCCCCGCGCACCTGCCGCTGCTCTGCGCGTGCCTAGTCCTGCTCTCGCTACAGCAACCCCTGCGTGCCGATGCCGCGGTCACCGACGTGTACAAGCCCTTCTGCGACAGCAGCAGCTACGTGGATCCTCCCCCCAGCGGTGAGATCGCAGCACGGGCCGCCTTTCAAACCACGTTTCAATCCGCGGTCCACTTCGCCTTTCATGATCCCATTCAAAAGGGACGCGCAAGTTTCGGAGAGGAGTATGTGGCCTTAATGGCCCATCCCCTCCGCTCCCCTCTCCCAACTTAGTTGAACCATCCTGCTCCTTGGATTTCAGCCCACCTGCTTCAGTCTCCCCAGTACAGCACATCCCTCCTCTCGGTTCCCCGGAACCTTCATGTTGAAACAACCCCATTCTACACCCATCCCCTTCCCGGCTCCCCGGAACCCGCGCGCATGTTGCGCCGGATGTGCATGTCGCAGGGTGGAAGAAATGGAGCGACCCGGCGACGTGGCCGGGGGGAAAAATACCGGGCGTGGGCATGAGCATGGGAGTCAACGCCACCGTGCCGTGCGGCGTGGGCGTGCTGTTAGACACCAACGTCACGCTCTACCTCCTAGAGATCAACGGCTGGCTCAAGTACGTAGAACGCAGCAACCATGTGATTTGTAAGGTGCCTCATTGGGCGTGCTGCTGGGCACCAACGTCACGCTCTACCTCCTCGCGATCAACGGCTGGCTCAAGTGCGTCGTTCGCGCCCATGCGCCCATGTGGCCTGGCCAGGGATGACATGGCACCCGCTTTGCGCGTTCAAGGAGTTCTTAACATTGCCGCTGGCACCTAGTTGAAGGAAACCCTGCAAAGGAAATGGACCGACTGTCGCTTCTCTCGCGCGGCGTGTTTTCGCACAGCACTAGTATTCCCCCACGCCCATCTCCTCTCCCCCTCAGCTGCGCATCCCTAGATCTGAACATCCAATACCCCCTCCCCATTACCCCCGCCCCCCCGTGCTCCCGCGCGTCCGTGTGCGCGCGCACTGCGCAGGGTGGAAGCGTTAGGTCCTCTGCAGGTGATGGCGGCATTTATTTTAAATCAGGGCCGCGTCACCGTTGGCACCGCCGCGGCGCCATACCGCGGCCGGCTAACCGTCAACCTTACCGGCGCCGCCAACGAGCTCACCATCACGCGGCCCCCCGCCGCGCCGTCCCAGCCGCGGTCCGTGGGCGTGCGCGTGTTCGCGACCGTCGGCGGGCGGCTCGAGCTCAACGGCATGTACGGCAACGCGCCCTCGTGGACCACGCTCGCCGCGACAGCCGCCGCAGGCTCGACGAGCATTCGCGTGAAGGGCGACGTGACGGCGTGGCCGGTGGGCGGAGTGATTGCGATCGCGTCGACGGACTTCGACCGTTACCAGGCGGAGAACTTCACGATTACGTCCGTGGCTGCCGGTGGGTTGATGGATGGGAGGGTAATAGTGCCACTCATCAGCCCTTTCCCCACCTCCCATCACAGCAGTGCTCAATGCCACCAACGCCTTCCTCCTTCACACCCCCCTCTCCCCAACCCCTTCCCCAAACCCTCCCCTTCTTCCTCGCTTACTCCTCCTCGCGCCACCCCGTCCCCCGATTCCCGTACCAAACCTGCAGGTCCGGGCAACACGACGGTGCTGGGGCTGAGCGGGGCGCTGGCGTGGATGCACTGGGGAGAGGCGGTGACATCAGGCCCCGCGGGGGCGGGGGGAAGCGCAACGGTGGACGAGGCGGCGGAGGTGGCGTTGCTGTCGCGCGCGATCGTGATTCAGGGCCACCAGAACCCCGAGGACCCGCTGATCGGCGGGCATTTCATGGTGATGCAGACGGCGGAGCGGCAGCTCATCAAGGGCGTCGAGCTCGTCAACATGGGCCAGCAGGGCAGCCTCGGCCGCTACCCCTTGCACTTCCACCTCTGCCAGGATGTGTCCGGCTCGGTGGTCAGCAGTTGTAGCGTGCATGATAGTAATCAACGGTGCTACGTGGTGCATGGCACGTGGAATCTACGGCTGGAGTGGAATTTGGGGATTAATACCAAGGGGCACTGCTTTCTGCTGGAGGATGCGATTGAGTTTGGCAACACGTTTGTCAACAACCTTGGCTTCCTGCAGGTGTGTTGGTGGTCTTGTGTGTGCTCTCTGTGTGCTCTCTGTGTGCTCTCTGTGTGCTCTCTGTGTGTGTGCGCCTTCATGCGCTTTCGTGTGCTTTCATGTGCTTCCCCACGCCTTGCATTCCTCACTCACATTGCCTTGCCTTGCCCCTCCCTCGCCCCCCTCTCACTCCCCGTACACTACCTCGTTATCACACTGCTCCCCAGGAATTTACGCCTGCTGCAGCGCGTCTACGCCACCTACCCTCACCTCTGTCTCCCTCCGTTCCTAACACCCATCATCCACTTTTCCCTCTCCCCCCTTTCCCCTTTCGTTCTCCGCCTTCCTCTCCGTTTACCACAGGAGCCAGTGAAGCGTCTGCTGCAGCCCACAGACGCCATTCCAGCCACTCAGAGTGACGACGTGCCGTCCACGTTTTGGATCACCAACCCCAACAACACGTTCATCGGGAACGTTGCTGCTGGGTCGTTCGACTCGGGGTGAGTCCATCTGCTGCTGCTCTCCACCGTGATCCTGCAGGGTGTTTGAATAATGATACGAGTTGGTTTTTGAGAATTCTCAAAAACCAACTCCTACAGCAACATTGTTTCTCTGGACTGGACTGTCCTGTGCTGTCTTTGCTCCTCATGCCGTCCGTCCCCATGGCCCTCCTCCTTCTCTCCCCCCCCCTCCCTCGCCCTGCTCCCTCAACACACCAGCTTCTCAAATCAGCTACCCTGCAATATTTTCAGCGCCTCGAATCTCCTTTCTCGGCTCTTTTCCTCCCTCCCCCACCAGCTTCTGGTTCCAGCTACCCGGCCGGGTGGAGGGGCCGTTAACGATGTTTGAGGCGCCTCAATAATGCCCTACACTATTTTCAGCGCCTCATTCCCCCATTCTTGGCCCCTGTCCCTGTCCCTGGTCTGGTCCCACCAGCTTCTGGTTCCAGCTACCCGGCCGGGTGGAGGGGCCGTCAGCGCTCTTCCCGAACGCGGCAGGCGTGACGCCGTTCCTGATCCCGCTGGGCCCGTTCGTGGGCAATGCAGCGCACTCCAACGGCCGTGCGGGGCTGCGCACGTATCCCTCGGGATACCGCCCGCGCCTCAACGGGGGGGTCTCCAACGTGCAGGAGAAGGCCGGGATCAACGCGGTGAGCCTCTTCTCCGCTCGGTGCTCTGCGGTGCTGTGCGGTGCTTGCCTGGAGTATATTTTCTGTGTCTTGGGGTTTCTCTGAGTCTCTGCTGAAGCGTGCCGGTCTGCGTCGTCTCACCCTTGTTCTCCTGTAGCCGTTGCCACTTTCTTTCTCATGTTCCGGGCTCGCGTTCTTTCTGCTCCTGTCCCAACAGCCGCAGGTGAACATCACAATGATGGGCTTCCGGGCGTACAAGAACCAGTTCATAGGGTAAGTCAGTAAAGGAGACTGTTTTTGATGAGCCTTTTTTGAAGAGCCTTTTTTGAAGAGCCTTTTTTGAAGAACCTCAACATGATTCATAGGATGATTGGAGGAGGCTGTTGAGTGGTTGTGAATGTGGGAGTCCCTGAGGCCGAAAGGAAGCACCCCTCTTTCTATCTCCCTTGCTCTCTCTCTCTCTCTCCTGCTTGCAATCCTGTTCTTGCTTTCCCACCCTCCACGTGGCAATGCTGCACAAGTCTGACTCAGCCACACCCTGAGTTGAGTCACCACCAGCTCCAAATGCAACCCAGCCACCCACCCTCCCCACCCCACCCCATCCCATCCCATCTCATCTCCCTCCTCTCTTTCCCCCCCCCCCCCGCCACCACCTCGTTTCACAGCATGTTCATTCACAATTCAGACGGGGTGCACATAAGGGGAGCGCGGGTGGCGGACAATGCAGTGGTGGGCATCGAGCTCAACCGCGACCAGGCTGTTGTGGTGAGTCTGTCTGTGCCTTGCCTTGCCTTGCCTTGCCTTGCCTCTCCATTTGACCTCTTGGTTGTGGTAATCTCCACTTTTCCTCACAGATTTTTCCTCTCGTGGCTTACACTGCACCATCCTATGCACTCATCCCCCTCTCCGTCTTCTCCTCTCCTCCCCCATTCCTCTCCCTCCCCCTCTCTTCCTTCTCTCGCTCCTTCTCCCTTCAGATAGCAGACTCGGTGTTCATAGGCGAGTCCGCCAACATAAGCAACCCCACCATGTGCAACAACCCCAGCAACACCCTTCCCTCCCACCCTTCCCTTCTCTCCTCCTTCTCACCACCCTTCCCCCTGCTTCCCCCCACCAACCCTTCTCCCTTCAGATAGCAGACTCGGTGTTCATAGGCGAGTCGGCCAACATAGGAAACCCCACCATGTGCGACAACCCCAGCAACACCTTTGGCGGCTGCAAGGCGCTTGCCTCCGCTGGCGTCTGCGACCTACCGCTGCCGCTCGCAAAGGTGCGGGACTGGGTTGAGAGAGGGCACGTGTAAGGCATGTGACGACTTTTTAGACTTTTGAGACTTTTGAGACTTTTGAGACGCCTTGAAAGGCTTTTCGTGGCAAGGCGATGGCCTCCGCTGGGGTCTGCGACCTGCCACTGGCGCTCGCTCGCAAAGGTGGGTGGGGGGACTTGATTGAGAGGGGGGACGCGTGTGAGGCACGTGAGTGAGTGAGTGAGTGCAAGGTGTGGTACAAGGATGATGAGGGCAACGAGCATGATCTCATTGTGTCAGAGCGCTCGTTGAGTGTGGGATGCACATTTATCAACCCAAACTCCACTCCACACCCATCATTCGCTTCTACTTTGCCCGCTCCCCTCTCCTCCCCTCCCTCCCCCTCCCCTTCCCCCTCCCCCTCAACCTCCCCCCTATCTCTCTCCCCCCTCCCCAGGCGCGCTCCAACAGTCGAACAGTGAGTCGCTATGCACCCAAGTACGGCATATTAATCGACCAGGCAGACCCACCGGGCCACGGGTGGAGCATGGGCGTGCCTCACCGCATTGTCAACTGCTCCTTCTCCGGCTACTACCCCCGCTGCCACCCTGCTGCCGGCATCTCACGTGCGTGCTTGCGGCTTCTGTTCCCCCCTGTTTTACGTCGTCTGTTTTGTGTCCCCTGGTTTTTTGTTTACTTTGCCTTTTTTTTTTTTTTTTTTTTCCTGTTGCTATTTCGTTTATCGTTCTCGCACACATGCACACACCCACCCCCTCGAAACCCCCACCTCTATACCCACCAGCCAACGGGCATGCAGCATACATCTGGCCAGCAACCTACACCAGCAGCGGACTCTCCTTCCCCGACGCCGCCTCCCCCGCGCTCTACCTCGTGCCGCGGAACCGAGGCCAGCTGGGCTTTGACGGCGGGTACGGGGACGCGGGGCCGCTGGCGGGCACGTACGTGTGGCACGATGAGGATGGGTCTGTTGTTGGCGGGAGCGGAGGTTTTGCCGTGGCGAATAACACTGCGCTGCTGCCAGCGGGGGATGTGTGCACAGCGGTGAGTTGTGGGGCTTTGACGGCGGGTACGGGGACGCGGGGCCGCTGGCAGGCACGTACGTGTGGTGCGATGAGTATGGGTCTGTGGTGGGCGGGAGTGGAGGGTTTGCAGTGGCGAATAATACGGCGTTGCTGCCTGCAGGGGATGTGTGCACTGCGGTGAGTAGTGGTGCGGTGAGATTCTCAGGGGTGCTCTCTGCGAGACTGGGCAGGCGCCTAGTCATCCGGGTTTACCAACCCGCCTGAAAAAAAAGCTTCTCAAGAAATCAATCTTGCTCCCCTCTCTTCTCCCAACCCACTCACACTCGCACCCGTTCCCCTATCGCACCCCTATCCACCTATCCCCTATCGCACTCCTCCCTCTCCACCAATCCCCCAGAAACCCGAATGGAACGGCTATGCATGTCCAGGCACATGCTACCGCACTGTCTCCATCCAAGGGGGTAGCGCAGGCTTCACACTGATCCCAGCCGGAGGGAGCAGCAGTGGGGGAGCGACCATATCCAGCAACGGCGCGCAGTTTGTGAACGTGCTGGCGGGGAGAGCGTATGTGGTGACTCCTGGGGGGAGCGGCTCTGCTTCTGCTGCGCCAGTGGCGTATACAGTGTCGTATGCCGATGGGGGGTTCGGATGCACGCTGCCCGTGGTGCTGCAGTTCCCGATGCCCCGTGCGGGATACACGTGGCAGCTGTCTCCTTCTGATGACATCTTCTGGCAGTACGTGTGTTGCACATGCAGGCTGTGGGTGGAAGGGAGGGTTGGGTGGGAAGAGGGAGGGGAGGCTTGAGACGTCTCAAAACCTCAGTGGCAGCTGTCTCCTGATGATGATATCTTTTGAGTCGACTCAAAAGTCAGCTGTCTCCTTCTGATGATATCTTCTGGCAGTACGTGTGCTGCAGGCTGGGTGGGAAGGGAGGGGGGGGGGGCAGGGGAGGGGAGGGTAGGAGCGGAGGGCAGGGGAGGGAGGGGAGGGAAGATGGAGAGAGATGGGAAAGAAGCAGGAGAGACTAGTGGAACAAGTGCGAGATGGAGAGGGAACGGATATGTACGGAGTGCGACAAGTGCAACGTTGCCTTTGCACCATCCCACCTGCCCCGGCCCGGTCTAACCACCCTCTCCCACCTCCCCGATCCCCTGTGCCCACGCTCGCCCTCCCTCCTCCACCAGGGCGTGCAGCGGGGTGACGCTGCCGTTTGCGACGATTGCCCAGGCGCAGTGGCTGTGTCTGGACGCTGCGCCCGTGCTGCAGGTGTCCCTCGGTGCCAACTCCTCCGCCAGTGTCGTGCTCACGCAGGTCCCCGGCAACTTCTCCTGCGTGAACATGTGAGTTTGTCGAGTGGGGGGGGGGTATGGGCTCTGCTATGACCACGAGACAAACTCACATGTTTACGCAGGAGAAGGCTCTGCAGGAGAAGGCTCTGCTGTTCTTGTGGGGGTATTGGTTCTGTTGTCATGTGATCTTATCCGCCCGTACTGCTTGCTCTGCTGCTCTCTCTCTCTGCTTCTTCCATCCTTTCACGTGACGTGACTTGTCCACCACGTGTGCGCGCACCCATCTCTTCTTCCTCCCCACGGCATCATAGTACCACCGTGCCGTCGTCGGCCAACTGGAGCTACAGCGACGCCATGCCACGAATTACACCATCCCGAGTCCATGTCACATCTCATTCTTTATCACCATTCACACCACACCACCGCCCCCCCTCCCACCTCCCCCTCCCCCCTCCCCTCCACCAACCAATGCGGCATGATCCCATCCTTCTCCAACTGGAGCTACAGCGAGACCATGAAGTACCCACCCGTGTGTCCATCTCACATGGCACTCATTGTCACACCACGACCACCACCCGCCCTCCCATTCCGTTGCCCTCCCCCCTCCACCAGCCAATGCGGCATGATTCCGCCCTCCTCCAACTGGAGCTACAGCGACACCATGAAGTACCCGCCTGAGTTTCTCGCATATGCGCCGCCCGCCAGGTGGAAGGTGGGGCGCGCGCCCTTTGGCTACGGCGGCCAGGGCGAGGTCACCACCGTCGCACACGCTGGCCCGGTAGGAGCTCCGGTAGGCCCGTGGGTCTCTCGCCTGTGACTCCTGTGACCCGTTGCCCACTTGTTGGTGTTGGTGGACCTGTTGCAGTCTCTTGGACCACACACGCAGGCCCGGTAGGGGCTCCGGTAGGCCCGTGGCTCTCTCCAGTAGGGCCTTTGCTCCCTTGCTAGGATGCCATTTGCGAACTCGCACAGCTTTTGCTGCGATAGGTAGGCACTGTACTGCGTGCTTGGGGTTTCTGCTTATCCTTGTCGCTCCCAAGTACGTGGGGTGTGAGCACATGCTCATCCATGTCTCATGCATCCACTCACTATTGCTCTTGAACCACCATGAAGCTGTTGACACTCATCACCCATCACCATGAAACGTTGGTTCCTTCACCCATCACTGCCCCTCCCCCCCTCAGGGTGCGCTGGCATGGTACTTTCGCACGTCCTTCTCGCTCAAGTACGCGGGGTGCTACCGCTCGCTGCTGTTTGGCTACAAGGCGAGCGACGGCATAGTGGTGTATGTCAATGGCGCCGAGGCCTTCCGCTCCAACATGCCCGCTGCTTCCTCCTCCGCTCCTGTCACCATCTCCACACCCGTGAGTTGTCACAGTATGGGTGGGTCACAGTATGGGTGGGTCACTGTATGGGTGGGTCACTGTATGGGTGGATCACTGTATGGGTGGGTCACTGTATGGGTGGATCACTGTATGGGTGGGTCACTGCATGGGTGGTCGCTCGCTGGTAGGCCGGGGGGGTTTTGAGACATCCCAAAAGTCATGCCCCCTCGGCATCCTCCTCCACTCTTGTCACCTTCTCCACACCCGTGAGTGGTCACTGAATCGCCAGGTTGTCGGTGGGTTCACCTCCTTGGATGCCTGATCTTAACTGCAACCACAATCTCCCCCAACCCCAACAGTCCTTCAACCCAACTCTTTGTTGCCACTCTCCACCTCTTCGCCCCCATTCCCCATGCATTTCGACATGCACTCTACTCCAAACAGGCCGTGATAGACGCGAGCCCACGAGCGCCCTGGTCCACAGCAATAGTCTCAGTGAGCAACGTGCGGCTCATGTCGGGGCGCAACTCAATAATGGTGGAGCTGCATGCCACGCAGGCATACGCATGGGAGGTGCACCTCAACATGTGGGTCGCTGCCGTCGGCTCCAGCTGCCCCCTCACGCGCTTCTTTGACCAGCGGTCCTCACTCGCGTTCACCGCTGCCGCTGCTGGGATTGGCACTGGCGCTTCTGCCGGCAAGTGAGAGAGAGATGGAGAAAAAGCATGTGGTTGGATTGGTTATAGGAGTGAGCTGGTTCTGGAGAAGTGCTGTGTACTAAACATCCATTGTCCCTTGTATGTTGGCAGTGCAGGGTCATTGTTCTAGAGTTTTGCTGGGGCGGTTATGCAGTTGGGTCAGGGCATAGCAGGGGGAGATGGTTCCTGAAGGGAAAAAACAAACACTGATGGTGTCTTTATGCCATAGCACTGCGCCATGGCAGCTGAGGCTGCTGTATGGGGGAATGGTTGGGGCTAATGCGCTGTTTTTTCATATGGAATAAACAACCTCCTTCAGTTTAAATGGAGTAAACCAGGCAGTTGCAAGATAGACGAAATAGATGTGGGAAAATATGAGAGGTGCAGGTGCAGTATCTAGGAGAAGCAGACATGTATTCACGTAGGATTGCAATCCATACAGGTACTCTTGAAAATGCAAGACAAATGGTAAATGATAAGAAATAAAGAGGTACAGGCAGTGGGGAAGCACTGGATATATCTCTTCATGTGACATCAGCACATGATGCCACATCTATATAAAGCTACAGCATCCAGCAACAGCTAACGCTACAGCCAGCGCTACAGCCAGAGAGCCACTGCCAAGCTGACATACGGTATGACATATCTAAGCGCCAACCACACCCCCTATCCACCCTTTGCAGAGACGAACAGGAAACAGGCACAGCCAAAGCTACCCAAATAAAAAAAGGAACAGAACCAGAGGAAATATGATAAAGCAGTTAGGGTAAAGCAGAGGGCCAGCCAGAAGCCCACAACCGCCCCATGGAGAAACAGGCTTAGTAGTTCCAACCAAGGAACGTGGTAGTAGAGGTAGGTGGATGCTGAGCCGAGATGTTTAGCTTGGACTGAAGCAGGAGGTACGGGCGACTGGGGGTACTGTTACAAGCAGCCAGGAGTGTCAGTGAGGGGAGAGGGCTAAGGCCAGTCAGGAGGCTCCAAGGAGCAATGACTGTGACAGTTAGTGGCTCGCAGGTAACGAGTCGATCAGCTGCCGCAGGCGAGGCATTCATCACGGTTCTCGAGAGAGCAGACCATGGCTGCGAGGTTCACTGATGCTGCCTTGGACGATACCATCACGTCCAGCTTGCCCTTCTCTTCTGCCCGCACCTGCGCCTGCGCCTGCACCTTGCTCCCCTGATAGTCAATGGGATATAACGGCAAGTGGGGTGAATGGGAAATAATGGGAATGAGCTTGTTGGGCAAGGAGGCTTTCAGGAGGGAAAACACAGCAAGGCGCAACCATCAGGAGAGAAGCAGCAGCGGAGCAAGAGGCAGCAATAGCGGAGGCAGCAGAGGAGCAGCAGCGACTGACCTGCACTGCTGTGGCATCCACAGTGAACTTGATGGCATCGGCTGCGCTGCGCGTGCGCAGGTAGTACATGCCCGTCTTGAGCCCCTGCCCATGCACACACATGCACACACATGCACACACATGCAGACACAGACGCGCGCGCACACACCCTCCAAAACTCAGCCTCTACCCGAACAGCTATCCCCGCAACATCAGCAGCTGAAGGAACTTCCAAACGCAAGTGCAGCAGCACAACAACCTGAACGTGCAGATACATAAGAGCAGCAGCATGAGCGCGAATCACACCTTGGACCAGGCGTAGAAGTGCAGAGAGGTGAGCTTGCCGAAGTTAGGTGTATCCAGGTGGATGTTGAGGCTCTGGCTCTGGTCTATGAACACGCCCCGCGTCGCAGCCAGGTCCACCACCGCACGCTGCTTGATCTCCCACACCGTCCTGCCAATCACAGCACCACACATGGGAAACAAAGGCTTGCTTACGAGCTGTCGGAAACCAGAAAGAAGAAATGCAGGAGAGACCCAGAACCCAGTCCTCAAGAACTCACCCAGCTCAGCCCCATACTCGGTCAACTCACTTGTAGATCGGTTTGAGGTGGTTGGGAATGGCGGCGATGCCCTCAACAGAGCCGTTGTGGTAGATGAGCTCGTTCTTGAGCGCGGGCGTCCATAGCCCCATGCCCGTAAGGTCGCTCAGCAGGTGCTTGTTCACCACCACGAACTCACCACTGCATACAGGATGCACACGAGGGGGAGAGCAACAGGGCAGGGAGCGCACAGCAGGGCAGGGCAAGAAAGATTAGGCAAGATTGGTCGTGTTGGGCGCGTTTCAATGCACGTTGGGGGAAGAAGGGACATCTGTAAGCGATCAAGCGAAAGCACAGCGAGCAGGGGAAGCGCCACGCACCTGAGCACGCGGCGGGTGTAGATGTTCGACGTGTACGGTTCAAAGCACTCGTTGTTCCCAAGAATCTGGCTCGTGGACGCCGTAGGCATGGGCGCAAGCAGCAGCGAGTTCCGCAGCCCCACGCGCGCAATCCGCGCGCGCAGCCCCGCCCAGTCGTGGCGCTCCTGCGTGAGCTCGACGCCGTCCCACATGTCGGGCTGCAGCACGCCCTTGCTCGTGGGGCTGCCCTCGTACGTGGGGTACGTGCCGTGCGTCTCCGCCAGGTCGCACGACGCCTTGAGCGCGTGGAAGTAGATCGTCTCGAATATGTTGCGGTTCAGCGCGTTCGCCTGGGAGGATCCGGGAGGAGGGACAGAGATGCATGAAGAGGTGAGGGGGAACCACGAGGCGAGGAGGTGAGGGAGGCACAAGTGAACAACCGCTGTATTTGCTCAAGAGGTGGGCGCACCACAAGAAGTAAATTCAGCATAGGAACCAACTTTTTGAATTTCAACGTGGGCAATGAAGAGAGGAGACAGCAGGGGAGAGGGGAGTGGGAGGTTGAAGGGGAGGGGAAGGTAGGGTCGGACCTCGGCGGAGTCGAAGGGCATGCCGAGCAGGATGAACACGTCCGCCAGGCCCTGAATGCCAATGCCGATGGGGCGGTGGCGCTCGTTAGACAGGCGCGCCGAGTCGGTGGGGTAGTAGCTGACGTCGATCACCTTGTTGAGGTTGCGCGTGATCACCTCCGTCACCTGCCCCAGCTTCTCGAAGTCGAAGTACCGCTGCGCGTGGTTGCGACTGCCGATCAGCTTCACGTCCGCCGCCACGCCCTGCCAGTCACGGAGCGCGAGACAGCGACAGGGAAAAACGGCGGGGTTGAGGGTGGTTGGTTAGAACAGCAGAGCGATCGGGTTCGGTTAATGTGCAAAGCCCAGAATTGTGCTGAAGGCCTGAAGAACAGCAGCTCCGCGCGTGAAGACAGAGACCGCGTGCGCTCACCTGCTCGCGGACGTAGCGGGGCAGCGCGATGGAGGCGAGGTTGCAGACGGCCGTCTCGTCCGGCGCGCAGTATTCCACGATCTCGCTGCACAGGTTGCTGCACTTGATCGTGCCAAGGTGCTGCTGGTTGCTCTTGCGGTTGCACGAATCCTGCTCGCCACCACGCCAGCACACCAGAACGAAGCCCCGCAAGGAGCAAGCGGTAGGTAAGCCTCAAAATGAACCACAGAAGGGTAATGTAGAGCAAAATGAAGTCCCTTGGGAAAGTTGGGGTACCTTGAAGAGCATGTAAGGGTTGCCAGTCTCGATCTGGGCCTCCAGGATCGCGAACCAGAGCTTCTGTGCGGGAAGCACGCGGCGGGCTCGGCCCTGCGTGTGTGGAGGCACAAGAACAGACCACGACGTAAGACACTGAAACCGAGGAAATGGCCTGCAACAATCCAATGCACCGACTTCGTCTCTGAAGGAGGCGAAACTATACGATCATCAAAAGCAGGTCCCGCCGCGTACCTCGCTCTCGTACTTGGTGTAGAGCTCCACGAACTTGTCGCCCCAGCAGTCAGCGAGCCCGGGGGCCTCGTTGGGGCAGAAGAGCGACCAGGGGCCGTTCTCCTGCACGCGCTGCATAAACAGGTCCGGCACCCACAACCCGTAGAACAGGTCGCGCGCACGGTTCTCCTCCTGCACAAGCACAGATTAGGGGTCGAGGAAAGAAATATCCAAGCACACAAATAAGTGGCCAAGTATGCAGATGCAAGAATCAAATCTGCGGACGAGCATGTTATTGAGTGAATACCTTGCCGTGGTTCTTCCTCAGGTCGAGCCATTCGAACACGTCGGCGTGCCACGGCTCCAGGTAGATGGCGAACGCGCCCTTGCGCTTGCCACCGCCCTGATCCACGTATCTCGCCGTGTTGTTGAACACACGCAGCATCGGCACAATACCGTTGGACGTTCCGTTGGTTCCGCGGATGTAGCTGTTAGCGGCGCGGATGCAGTGAATCGCGAGACCGACGCCACCAGCGGACTTGCTAATAACGGCGCACTCCTTAAGCGTGTCGTAAATGCCCTCGATGGAGTCGTCTTTCATGCAGACGAGGAAGCAGCTGCTCAGCTGCGGACGCGGCGTGGCGGCGTTGAAGAGCGTGGGCGAGGCGTGCGTGAACCAGCGCTGCGACATGAGGTGGTACGTGTCGATGGCGGCTTCGATGTCGCGCTCGTGGATTCCCACGGCCACGCGCATCAGCATGTGCTGCGGTCGCTCCACAACCCTGCGAGACCGAAAAGCAAAATGGATCAGTAGAGGAACCACTGTAGTGTTACGTCACGCCACGTTATGCAGAAGGAAGGCTCACCTGCCGTTGACACGAAGAAGATATGATCGCTCCAGGGTCTTGAACCCGAAGTAGTCATACTCGAAGTCACGGTCGTAAATAATCTCGCTGTCGAGGATATCCGCATTCTGCAAGTAATTCCATGTAATAAATTTATTCATAAGTTAAAGATGCGAATGATTAGAAGAAATTAAGCTGAATTGTCACATCGTCTAGTTGCAGTAAAATAAACAGCGAACAGGAGCGGATGTCCATCGTACCTCCATGATGATATTGTAAGCCAATTCACTGACCAAAGGAGACTCCTGGCCCGTCTCCTTGTTCACATGGAAATACATATCTTTGATCCTGAAATACAAATAGAAACAGCAGAGCAGGGCCGTTAATCCTGATTTAGCAGACAACCGGGCTTCATAGTCGAGCTGAAGCGGTACAGGGTTATCAACGTTAGCGATGACATGCTGAGGCTGCTTACGTTTCAGAGAAGGACTTTTTCGTGTTCTTGTGAAGGTTAGACACCGCGATCCTCGCAGCGAGCTGGAATGAAACGGAGAAAAACACGGACATCGTTACATCACATTGAAATAGCTTGACGGGATTTCTGGCCAGCGAGTTGAGACGGGACCTCGACAGGCCAATGCGAGATACGAAGTACATGGATATTTCAACAGGGAACATTATAATGAGAGAAATTAGGCTTCGTTACTGACAATGGCGTAGTCGGGGTGAGTTGACGTCATTGCAGCAGCGGTCTCAGCAGCGAGCTCGTCAAGCTGCGAGGTAGTGACACCCTTGTACACACCCATGCAGACCTTCTGAGCAACGACAACCGGATCGCAAAAGTCAGGATTGAGCCCATAGCTCAGCTTCTTGAGCCTTGCAGTGATCTTGTCGAAATGCACCGCCTCCTTACGGCCGTCACGCTTGATGACGAACATGGCTGATTATGTCGCTGTTAGTCCGTAGATGGATAAGGCCAATCTCGCGCTGTCGAATCGAACTCTGAGAAGCCAACAGTGATGGTTGAGGTGATACCTATCACGCACAGCAAGGGTAGCGTAATGAAGAAGCTAGGATCACTGGTCAAGAGGTGAAGAGGAATGATCGAGAGCTGAGCTGATTAGTTGAACTAATAGCGGCTGAAGCCCGCCTTTTTATCAGCTAGCCTGACCAGCCAAGGGAGGCAGAGAAGAGCAGCGAGAGCAGGCAATCACATCGAGGCGCGTGCAGATCTGGAAGGCGTCACTGGCTCTGGGATCAGGGAAGGAGAAATTTGTCTGGGGCTCTGGGGTGAGGTTTGGTGTGGTGACAGGCTTGGCAGTTGGTTCGGAGACAGGTAGGCACAGACTGATGCGATGCGGTTTGAATCGCGACATACAAATCACAAGAATTCAAAATTTGCTTTGTGAGTTTGACGAATTTTGGCTGGGGGTGAGGCGTCTCGAGTTCAACTTCGGAGTTTTGAAATTCGGGAATCAAATCGAATGCGGCCAAACCCATTCAAACGACATCCGGACCTCTCATATTTGAGAGGTTCGGGGCCAGGCCAGAATTTATGTGGGCTTGTGCTTCCAGCTTCAGCGTGACGATTCCGTTCGCAACTCAGGGTTTTGAATCCCCAAATTCAACGCGCTGCTGCTCATCTCGCTCTCAGAATGTCTGATTTCGCACACATTTCGTTTTGTGCTAAGTTACGTTACCTCAATAGCGAAAATTAGCTCACCATTATATGCATATGTAGTCCAGGGCTCTCGTTGTCAGACCATTTTGGTCTGATGGTCTGATTTTCAGACTTATTATTTCATATTCATCTGAATCTCCAATCTAGATCAGACAAAATTATTTTTTTGCTTGGGGGACCCGTCTGATAAATCAGACGTTCTCAGATCCTAGCAAGAGCCCTGATGTGGTCTCCATGTTGTGTGCTCTTGGTGTGTTGTGTTGTGCGCTGGTTCACGTGATTCAGCAAGATTCGCCAGGGAAAAGATCTCTGTCAGAGTTCCACTGGAGATCCCCGATTGATCCTAAGGAAGGGTTACAGGCACGTTGGCTTGGGGGGTTATGGGCGCACTCACCCGCTACACAAACAAGCCCTTTTATTCCAGTGGTTAGTGGCTGGAATTCTGACATGGTATCAGAGCGAAGGTCTCGGGTTCGAATCCCGGTGTGTGCATCTGGGGCATCCCAGTGCGGGGGGGTGTTAGAGGTCCACTGGAGATCCCCGATTGATCCTAGGGAAGGGTTACAGGCACGTTGGCCTGAGGGGTTATGGACGCACTCACCCGCTACACAAACAAATCTTTTTATCCCAATGGTTAGTGGCTGGGATTCTGACAATCTCCGAGTCTTCGAACAAGGGTGGGCATTATAATTGGACCGAGGCTCAAGCTCCACAGGCCAATCAACAGAGGGGCATATATAGGGATTATGGTAAGTTCTAGGCAATGGCAGCAAGAGCATATGTGTATGGAATAACGTGTTGCGTGCAATGACACGAGGGATAACACTCTTTCAGTTCTCCAACCACTCCCTAATGGTAGACCGTCTCCAGCCTACATGACAATAGAACAGTCAACACTAAGCAACAAGAAACTGTACATGAGAAGCATCACCTAGAGTGATCAAGCATCACAACCACAACTGCAGGTGCCTAAAGCAAACACATTTTACAGTTCCAGACCTATTCAATTCCCGAACTGTTAATCAACATTTCCATCCCACCACCAGTTCAGGTTGTCCCTAGACCCAGACAATAGATTCCCTAGCTCCATCCATATGTCTTCATCTTCGTCCCACTCTTCGCCGTCGATAACTAGATGCGCCACCCCGCCTCCTTGCCGCCCGCTCCCTCTCTACCCTCCCCCTCCTCTCTCCCATCGATCCTGCTGCCGCTGCTGCAGCCGCCGCAGCAGCTGCAGCCATTGCCACTGCCGATGCCTCCTCACTCCCAGTCGCAGCAGCCACAGCTGCTGCCGTTGCCGCCACTGACGCTGCACCCGTGGCTGCTCCAAACCCATCACCCACAAACCCTTCTCCTCCCCCTCCCCCAGAAACCCCATTGCCCCCTCCAGGGTTTATAGCAGCTGCCGAACCCCCCATGCCGCCCCCTGACACAGAAACATCCTTACCACCGCTGCTCCCAAGCCCATCCCCATCGCTCCGTGCTGCAAACACCGGACTGGGCTCAAGAGGCGGAGGAGGGGGGATAGCTCCAGAGGCAATCCTTTCAAGCTCCTCCAATGACCCATCATCCACCTCGTCCTCTTCCACTTCTCCTCCTCTGCCCCCCTGCCTCACCTCCCCCACATCTACATCAACCACCCCGGCTGGTAGGAACAACCCCCTACCTTCACCAGGTAACGCCTTCCCATGCTTCCGCCTCTCAACCAGCTCAACATCCAACCATCCATCATTCTCATCCCTCCCGCCAATCCCAGCAATAAGATACCCCAGAGCGTCCAGAGCAGGAGTGAGAGCCATGGATAGCACCACCACGATAAGCACAATCCGGTTCACATCAGTGGGAAGAACGCCCAAGTCACAAGCCAGCGCCAGCACCACAAAGGCAAACTCCCCGCCAGGGGACAGAATGAGCGCCGTGCGAATGGCGTCCTTGCCTTTCAGACCCCACCTGGGCGCCAGCAGCGCGACTGTAGCCGTCTTCACTGCCAGCAAGCCGCCAAGAAGCGTCAGAATTACCGGCCACTGCTCCACGAGCAAATCCACATCGATAGATGAGCCGGTAGTGACGAAAAACAGCCCCAGTAGCAGCTTCTGCAGGGGACCCGTGCAGAGCGCCACATCATGCTTCAAAGGCGTGGAGGAGAGAATAGCTCCGGCCAGGAACGCCCCAAGAGAATCCGAGAAACCAAGCTTGTCGGTGGCAAGGGAAGTGCCGGTGACAGCGAGGAGGGAGAGAGCCAGGAAGGCCTCTGGAGCATTGGCGCGCTGCACTGCCGCGAAAGCAGGTTTCATGAGCCATTGCGCTCCCACGAGAATGGCGCCTAGGCCCAGGAGGGCCTTCAGCGCGCCTGCTACTAGGAGCTGGGCTAGGGCGACGTTTGCAGGGCCGCCTAGGAGCGCTGCTGCAACTGAGAAGAGGAATCCGGACGGGTCTGCTGCCACTGCTGCTGCGGTGGCCGCTGCAGCTTCTGCTGCACCAGCCGCTGCTGCTCCTGCTGCTCCTGCTGCCGCTCCGGCTGCTGCTCCTGCTGCTGCTGTTGCGGCAGCAATGGGAGCGGTGGTGGCAGCGAGGGTGGCGGTGGTGGTGGCGGCATCCCCTGCAGCGCCAGCAGCGGCGGAAAACCCGCCTTCCAGCACGGGAAGTATGGCGAGGATGGGGACGACTGCTATGTCCTGCATCAGCAGCACGCCTAGGGTAGCCGAGCCGAATTTGGTCTCAAGCTCATCGTGCTCGTCGAGGAGATTAAGGACGAAGGCGGAGGAGGAGAGGGAGAGCGCCACGGCTATGACCAGCGCCTCGTCTAGCGTGATGTTCGCGAGGGGAGCGAGGAGATCCGTGGAGAAGGGGAGCGGGGGGAGCGCGGGGATGAGGGAGGTGAGAGAGGAGGGGAGGAGGGTGAGGAGGGAGGAGGCTTGCGAGAGGAGGTGGGCTGGGGAGATGGGGCTGTCGGCTGGCTGTAGCAGGAACGCGAATGCGAGGGTGCACGCTGCGATCTGCTCGAGGGGGTTGGAGAAATGAAGGGTGAAGCAGGGAGGAAGAGCAGGTGAGAAGAGAAGAGAAGAGGACAGCTAGAGTGTGTGGTCCATTTCGTGACCTACGGACGGACTACCAAGGCACGATTTGATTCGCCTTTGCTCCTAGCACTGCGGTTTGTTCCAATGCGGTCGTTCCAGTTCATGCCTTGGGCTTTGTTTTGAGTGCCAGGTCAAGACTTATATTGCGCACATGACGCATACCCTCCACAGGCCCCCCAAATCCCCCCAGCACAGAGCCCCCGCAAACCCCGCACACGCATAGGCGCGGGGAGCAACAATAACAAGAACAAGACGCACCTGCGAGAGGCCGAGGCCAAAGGAGTACTTGGCGAGCTCCTTGAGGCGGTCGACGGAGAGCTCGATGCCCATCTGGAAGAGCAGGAACAGAATGCCCAGCTCCGACACCGGCGCGATCTCGTTCACGTGCTGCCCGTACCCCAGCCGGCTGAACACCAACCCCGCGCCCAGGAACCCCAGAATCGGGCTTATCTGCGCACGGGGAATGGGGAGAAGGGGAGGGGGAGAAGGCGGGCAGGGCGGGGATGAGTTGAAGGGGAAGGGGAAGGAAATAGGAGGAAGAGGAGACGTGAGGAGCAGGGTTGGGAGGTGGGGAGTGGTTGAGAGTGTTCTTAGGAGAGTGGCGTGGAGAGAATTGCGGCAGAGTCGGTTCAGAGTCCGTTCATATTGGGCCGGATTTGCTGCTCAGTTCAGAATGAGCTGGCTCGAGGAGAAATTTTTAGGTTTGACGAGGCTTGGGACATTAAACGCGACAAATTCAAGCGAGTTACGAGCGTAGGAGAACGGGATATGAAGGGTTAAACGGCCGCCGACAACACTAGGCCGGCAAGTGGAAGCTAGCACGATAAAAGTTTATTCAAAGAAGCTTCCAAAACATCTAGGAAAGTACCTTGAGCCATTTGCAGGTGGGAACGATGATGACCGTGGTGAGCAGGAACAGCAGCGCGTCAAGTCCGAGGTCGTCGATCACTTGCGCCACCACCGCCGGACCCAGCGCAATCTCCCCGCCCACCACCGCGCGCGCAACCACGGCTTGCCCGCGCTCCGCTCGTCTCGCCCCTTCACCGCCGCCTTCGCGCCTGCTCGCGCTCCGTCCCGCGGAGCCAAAGCCTGACTCGTTGCACGCGCCGGTACCGTTGGAAGTGCCGAACGCCGCGCGTTCCGGCAGGCCGCGGCCGAGCCCCTGACCTGCGGCGCGCCCGCGCTCGCTGCTCACGGCGCTCGCGGCGCTCGCCGCAATCACCAGGGTCCGCGCTCCTGCTGAAGGCGACAACGGAGAGCAAAGACGTGGCACTGGAAAGCCATGGCGCGGGGAAGACGCTCCGCCGACGGCGGACCGATAACCCGGAGGAGAGAACGGCCGAAGGAGCGGGGAAGAGAGCGGGGAGGCGCGGGGGAGGCTGGACGGGTAAAGAAGCCGCGAGTTGAAGAATTGATTGGACTCTTTAGCCAAGTGCGCGGATACGAGTAAGTCGGTCGTCATGGGGGTGGAGAGCGACGGTCGCTGCGGCTTGTATTGGCCAAACAGTGGCGGCTGTGAAGCCAACGGCGCTGCGGTTACTTTCTGTAACGATGTACACACGAGCTGGGTCCGAGATGGCAATCAGGAAGCTGCCGCGACGTTAATGTACATGGAAATGGGATGTTAAAGTTAGCGACGCCAGCCGCCAATATTGGTCGAGAGGGAACTGGTGGGGCGGCAGTGGAATTGGCTTGTCCGTGCTCCAAGCATAAATTAATCGCAATGATTTAAGCGGCTAATATCGGTTTCCAGATGCTCGGTGAGAAGGCGATGAAGTTACACATCAGCTTGCGCCGTGAATCAGCAGTTGTGTGTTGTGAATGTCACTGATAAGCACACATGAGTGCACCGAGGCCGCCGATGTTACAGACGAGTCGCCATGTTGGTCGGCATATCAGCATAGTACACACCAGCGCAATAAGTATCAATACAAATATCTTAGCCGCTTTTCTTGATTCTTCATGGTTCACACATCGAGAAGGCCGTCGAGCGTTATGCGAAGTCCTCGACCGCTCTGAGCACCGAGGTTGCAGGTCAGAAACAGGTGGGGTGGTGGACGAAGCAGGGACAAGAAATTTGCTGCGAGACTCGCAACTGCAGGCGAGCCGCTTTTATGGATATGGGGGACATGCTGAATGGGGTCGAGTTTCGGTTGGGAGTCAGGACTGACTGGGGGGGGGGGCTGACACTGTGGGGGAAAGAGCCGGAAGAGGGGGAAGAAGGAAAAGGAGGGGAAATGGGACGGGATGGGATGGGATGGGATCAACCATTGAGGTGCTGGAGTCGCGGCTCGTGTGGCTTGGACCGTGCTGACGTGGCTCCTGCTTGCTATTTCCCACAACCCTCCGCACCTCCCTTTGCTGCGCCCTTCACGCCTGTGCTGCTTGCTCGTCTCTGCGCCCTAGGTCTTGGGTCCTTCATCGTCGCGCTGGCGCCTTCTCGACGTGCTGAAGGGCGGGACGGTGAATGGATAGAAGGGCGAGGCGATATTTGAGAAGGGAGCAAGGCTGAGTCGCTGCGCCTGATGAGATCTAGGGGGGTGAGTGTTTCTTTATCGTTGATTGGTTGAGGATGCTGCCAGCGTGGATTGGGTGGGCTTGTCTCAGTGGGGGTTTCGTGAGGAAATTTTCGATAGGAGGAGCTCTGCCCAGGTCAGATTGGGATGTCAGTCAAGGTTGATAAACTTTTTCGAAACACCACAATGCAGCATTGTTGACAGAGTAAAAGTGCTCGATGTTGAGTCAGATCCCTAAAATCGGGCAGAAGGTCCATTTGCCCGCGGTTTGCACAGTAAGCCAAAACACAACCACCGATTGTCAGACAACTTCCGTGCCAATCAAAAGTTCAAGTAGGGCACGTGCCTCAACGTATTACGTGGAGATCTTTCACTCGTTGGGGAGGCATATACGTTAACGAGACCTTGTGACGTGTCGATCTTCTCCCCTTTACGTGGCGTAAGTTAATTAGCCTTTTATGAGAAATAAAGCCTTCTGATCTAGCCCTCTGACCTGTTGTGTCAAGCCACATCGACTACTTAGCTGACCTGCAAGACATTCTGGCCAGCCAAAACTTGAGACTAGCCCCCCTATTATCGCTTTCAATAAGCCAGATCTATACATAGCCCATGCGACGCGACCAGGGGTTCAAACTTCAACAAGAATTGTGCACCTTATTCCATCTGTCAAAAACCTCTCCACCCCTCTCCACGCCTCAGCTTCCCAATAGGCACCATAATGCAGAAAGCATGTGTGGTAAATGCGGGGGTAAATTAGGTCGATGCTTGTAGAGAACAATGATGCTTGCAAGATGTGCTAAGAATTACCTGATAGTAATATACATATTGTACAAAAACTAGCGTACCGTACGAGTGAAAATTGGCAAAAAGTAGGAAACTCTCCCTCAACGCCTTCAGCCTGTTGCACACCTTCTCCATCCGCACGGAACACGGGGCGTGCACATGCACTGGGACATGCACTGGCTCTTGAAAGTCGCCCACTTGCCACTAACCTTGCTCTTCACAAGCGTGTTAGCAGTGTCCGTGCACACATAGTTGCACGATGTCTCCATGTACTCGCAGGGAGTATCAGCCATAACCCACCATTGAGCAGGCGGCCACGAGGGGAACGGGCAATATAGCGTGTCCAAATCCACCCTGCACCTGCTTTGGAACCGAGTATCCGCCATAAGCCCACTCCTCAAGAAACACGCGCTTTGGCACCCGTTGCACGCGCCTCCCGTGGCCGGCGTGGCAAAGTTACACACCGCGTCGCACATCGAAGGATACGTGGCGAAATCCGACCCGCACACGAAGTTCTGCTGGTTGCCACACCCGCAATCGTTCATCCCGATCCTACGAGAGCACGGCACGAGAATCATCTGATCTGCTGCGAGCGCGCTCGATTCACACGGGAAGAAGTTGTTGGTGTGGCAGAGGTTCGCCTCGCCCGCTGTCACCCCGCAGCGGTCAAAGAAAGCCATGGCGATGGATGTGAGCGTGTCGTTGGCTTGCACCTTGTAGGGGATGAGGCTCGTGTTGGCTGTTAGGCTGTCCACCATGACTGCGGTTGGTGAGGCGATGCATACCAGCTGCCCCACTTGCAGGTACGGCGCCTGGCACTGGAGTGTAGGTTGGCAGGGGTGATGGGAACAAGGGAGGAACAAGAAAAGGGTGAGAGGTGTATGAGATGCGAGGGTTGAGAGATGCAGGGGTGGAAAGCAAGAAAAGCAGGCCATGAAATTACTAGGGTGAAGGAAGACAATCAAACAGAAACAAGGTGGAAAGAAAGACGAGTATAGGTCCATGTGAGAGAGGAGGAACAGGGGGTGAGTCGGGCCGTGGGACATTGGGTTGGGAGCAGTGAAGGCAAGTGAGTGGAGAGGCGAAGACAAGAGAGGGCAGGAGAGGAGCAGGTCGAGGTGAGGTGAGGCGGGGCGGGGCGTACTCTGAGGCCGGGGTTGATGGCCATGAAGGAGGAGATGGTGAGGTTGGCGGCGTTCCAGATGTTGGGACAGTTGTCACCCTGCTGCACCAGGTACCACTTAGTGCACGTCACTGCGTCCCGCGATGTCTGCTCGCCCACACACACTGCCAGCCCCACGGGAAGCTGCCCCACCGAGCAGTCCAGCCCTGGGTTGAGCCTGTAACGAGGATAAGATTAGCGGGAGAGACGGACAGGAGGAGGACACAACATCCATGAAGACTCATATCCACTGCTGTACAGCAATGTACAACAAATCATGGAGCAACGGCCACACACAGAATCACTGTAAGCGAGTAAAATCAGAGTTCACAGCTAGCAGACAGGATCACATGGATCACACCGAATTGCCGGCGCAACAGTGCAATCCCACAGACAGACAAGGCACAGTGGGCACTCACATGTAAAACGTCGTGCCGTTGAGACCGTAAGTGCTGGAGATCGTATCGCACGTGTCGCCCGCAGTGACCGTGTACGTGAGCCCGCACACCAGTGGCGACACATCCTGCCCGAGCGTCCCCAGCGCCTCCGCGCACACCTGCTGCTGCACATACAGGCTCTCGCATTTGAGCCCGGGATTCGCCTTCTTCAGCTTTCCCTGATCCCCCTGAAAGTGCCGCGTGGCGAGGCTGTCGCACGTGTCGTTCGGGGAGACGTAAGTAGTGGTTGTGCATCCGCTGGTGGTGGTCTGCGTGGGGTTTGAGACCGCGAGAACCATGGCTGCCGGGAGCTCTGCGGAGCAGTCAAGGAAGGGGTTGAGGCGCTGGAGCGTGTTGGCTGGGATGGAGAGAGAGGTGGAGATGGACTGGCATGTGTCGCCCGGGAGCGACGTGTATGTGAGCGAGCCGCCCGCCGGTGTGACGGGTACGCATGTGGGAGAGCCGTCCACTCGTGACCCGATGACGTAGCCCTGCATGTGAGAGGGACGGAGGAGATTGCGGGTAAGTTTGTGTGCTAGCGAGAGAAATGGGGGTAAAAAAGAGAAAACAACACCACCACATCCGATCCGATGCCCACAACCCCACACGTCCGACATCCATCCCCAATATCCATCCCCAATACCCATCCCCAATATCCATCCCCTCCCAGCCTTTGCCCTCATCGCATCGCATCTCCCCCGCAGGCAGCGCACCTCATTGCACGAGCATGTGTACAGCCCGGCGGCCTTCACGCTGTTGCACGTGCCCGCGCCGCACGGGTTCACCACGCTCTTCCTGCACGGATCGCGCGTCACGCACTTGCTCGTCGGCACGCCTATGCGCTCCACGAAGTTGCGCGGGCACGCGCAGCGCGCCAGCCCGCCCAGCACGTAGCACGCGCCGCCGCCGCACGGGTTGATGCGCGACTGGCACGGGTTCGCGGACGGATCTGGCGTCCACGTGCTGTTGCGGAGCGACGCGCGCACGGGGGCGTAATTAGGGTTGTCCTTGAGCGGCCCGATCGGGTACATGGCGTTTTGGGGCGCCCTGGGGAAGAACACCGGGTAGATCGGCGGGATTCTGGGAGATTGGGGGATGGGAGGGGGAAACAGGGGGGAAGGGGGGAGGGAGGGGGTTGTTTAGTGGGGAAGGGGTTGAGAAGAATGGTGCGGAACCGGGGAAGTATGGGTGCGTACAACAGCAGCTTGGCGACAAGTCAAAGGGAGCTTCGTGACAGCTGTGTTACGACCGGAAAGCGGGGCAGCGGGCTCACTGGTTGATGCCGCATTTCCCGGCGCCCGAGGTCATGGCGAGGTACATGTAGCCGTTCTCGCCCCACGCGCGCCCCCACGTGTTCTTGATCACCCAGTACGGCCCGTTGACCTTGTCCACGCCGTACCCGACGATGAGCACCGCGTGATTCACGTCCGCGCTGCAGTTACCGTTGTAGAACCCGCTGCGGTACATCTGGGGAGCGGAGGGGGCGCGCGGAGAGGGAAAAAGGAAGAAAGGGAGGGGAACGCGGCGGGGAGGACGGACGAGAAGAGAGAAGCCGTCATAACACTGTGCAGAGCGCGGGAGAGGGAGCAAGCAAGCACGAAGAAAGCGAGGAAATGCGTAAACGAGTAAGGAAAGTGTAGCGGCGAAGGGGAAGGAACGAGCGCGGCACGGAGGGGAGCGGATCGGATCGGATCGGAGTGGAGCGGTGGGCAACGGACCCGGAAATCGTTGGTGGAGGCGTCGACGAATGCAATGATGGGGTGCTGGCTGACGGCCTGCACCATGGCCTGCACATCGAACGCCGGCACCTGCTCCCACCCCGTGATCTGCGCCTGCTTCACGGCCGCGCTCTCCGCGTCGCACGCCGGCTGGTCGCTCGCCGTGTAGGGATACACGTCGTTGCCCGCGATGCCGCCGTTGTAGACGATGTAAGCGAGGACCCACTCCGGCCAGCCGCCGGAGCAGCAGCGGTCCGCCGCGCAGTCGCACGCCTGCTGCGCCGACAGCGGCACGGCGTCGCGCGCGAACGTGGCGATGCCCCACATCAGCGCGACGGCGTCCGTTGCCGTCAGCGCCCAGCAGCTCTCGCACTGCGGGTCCGCGCGCGAGGGGGACACGTGGCAGAGGGGGAGGAGAGAAGAGGAGAGGAGAGGAGAGGAGAGGAGAGGAAGAAGAATGAGCATTAGCGTCACATTACTAGTAACAACAACGGCTGAAACGAAAATGTTCGCACTGAAGGCACCAGGAACAACAGGAATCAAGAACCCGGAAGAGGATATCGGGAAAGCAAGACATAGCCTTGGGAATTCCGCGCTGGGGAATCCTCATTCCGAGGTGGGGGGAAGCGCGCACCCTGATTTGGCTGGCGACTGGGGTCATGAAGCGCGAGAAGCGCCAGTCCACCCACGCGCGCACGGGCACGCTGTCGTAGCGGTACGCCGTGATGTTGATGTCGGCGGGCGACGGGCCCGTGTTCAGCCCCGGCGCCGTCAGCCCGCGATACCCGGAGCTCACGGGCGGCTTCGGAGCCGCGTCGTCTTGCAACACACGGCCGTTCCCGCCGTTGCTGCCGGTGCTGGCGTTGGAGAATCGCTGGACGGGGGTCCGCGAGATGCGGAATGGAGATTCCGATGACGAGAGGATGTGATCCAGGAAAGCGCGCTGCTCGTGCGGGGGAGCCGTTGCCGGATCCCACGCCGCGTCTTCCAGCAATGCCGACGTCGCCGAATCGTCCGATGTGGCCGTCGACCCCGCTGGGAGCAATCGTCGCCCGGCTTGATCCATTCGCTGGCCGCGTTTCCGCGATTCACGGCGCAGCTGCTGGAGGCTTTTCCTGGCGAATCGCCTGACGACCGTCGGATCAATCACGTCCCATGACACGTGGCCGTCGGAGAGATGCTCCCACACTAGACTCTCAAACGCGCTCCGCTGATGGGGACCAACAAGAGGCTCGGACTCCTCCCATCCTAGGCTCGCCTCTTCGAGAATCTCGCTCCTCTCGTCTTCTTCTTTGGCGGAGGAACTAGCGTCGGCGGGGAATGCGGCCTGCGTGGGGTGAATCTCAAATGCGCGCGACTGGTGCTGGTTGAAGGGAAGGGACTGCGACGCGTCGCCGATCCCTTGGGTCTGCAGCTGCATGCGAATGAGCACGTCGCCTGTCGCGGGCGACGTTCCCACCGCAGAATTCGCCGTGTGGCGAGCCGATGCGGAAGGGAGGTGGGCAACAGACAGGAGGAGGAGAAAGCAGAAGGGCTGAACAATGCACATTCGCCCCCGTAATGATTTTTGCCGTATGAGCTGTAGATATTCCGCGGAAAAGGCCATTTTCTAAGCAACGCGGCAGTGCGGCGTATGGCTGTACGAAGCCTCGAATTGAAAGCTTCTGCGCAACGAACGTGATCGCGAGTAGATTAGGAGCAGAAGGTTGCTGTCGCAAAGTGGTGAGGTGGCTTCTCGTAGTAAATTATGAATGTCTCGTTAAATGAGGCTAAATTTGCGAAAGCATGCCTCGACCATGATGGACACAACAAGCCGTTGACGCAAACAGCGGTCTCACGAGCTAACAAGGTGCTGGCCTGTCAGAAAACATAACATGATTTTCCCGTCCGCTGTCCCTTCTTTTATCGACATCGTCCTACACATCTTCATGAGCAATGGCAGAAGCTGAATTCTGTGGTGTGTGGTGTGCCGTGGTGTGCTCTGCTCGCTCCTGCACGCCGCCCCAAGCCGCATCAGTGCCCATGGAAACGGCGACTTGTGTGGAGCGGAACAGTGCAAGGGAAGGTCTCGCGCGTGGTAGGTACACCACGGTTCTGTCCGTTTCCTCCCCGAGGAGTTTGGTGGGGGGAGGTGCGGAGCGGAAGATGACGGAGGGTTTGGGCGGACCGCGGGAAGATTGTCGGGAGCGGGGACACAGTGAGAGGAATGCAAAATTCAATAGCTCAAACTTCAAAGATGTTTCTCTTTATTGTACATGCCAAAGGAAGCCCAAGTTCCAACACGGATTTCCCCTCCCAGTAGGGTTGCAAGAGAAACTTCCAACTCCTCATTTACGCTCATGAGCACTGTAATGCACCTTGTTTATGGCCATCGAGACGGGGGTCGTTGAGTTTATGAACCGGAAATGCAAAATGGTACAACTTACTCTCAATCCCCCCTAAATGTAGTCTACTTCTTCATCTTGAAGTTGTTGAAGGTGGGTGTGGATGTCCGGCGTGGAGCATGTGAATGCTGCCAAGTTTGTCGACCTTCTATTGACATCTTTTTTGTCTGAAGAGGGGCATCTTGCGGGCAAACACAAAGGTCGTGAGGGATCAATCGTTGATCAAAAAGTTACATCAACTTAAGGTTAAACTACCCCTATCCTTCTTACATAGTGAAGGCCGTTTTCCATTTCTTGAAGGGTGTTCGAGCTCCGACGTCCGAGGATGTCAGAAATTACTTTGAACAGCCCTTTACAAAACAGACCAGTCAAGAAAAAGCGTTGACTCGACATCCCACAACAAACGCTGAGGCTTCTGAGGACTTTCTGCCAAATCAGATTGGCTGCAGCGGCGGGGTTGGATCGAAGTTGAATGATCCAAGAAACACTCATTCCGTTACTGCTCGAATGAGCCAGATCCGTTACATGGGCGGATGTCCATGGGCGTAGTCACCGCTGTGGGAGCAGGCCAGTGTACAGCTTCGGTCTAGTGTGAATAGCCCATGTGAACAAATACTGTGCCCTCGTTGCTTCCAAACCTTTTGTTGGATAGGTAATTGCTAACTTCTGCACATTTGTCTAATGTTTAGCCGCTCACCTTTCTGGAAGGAGTTCCTACCCTTGGAGGGTTTTAGCCGCTCACCTCAGCCTGAGAATCTCAAGCTAATCTGTATCTACAGTTCTATTTAAGTTTTGATGGCTACACCATCGAACAAAAATCCGTATTGGGCATTGGTACTTTTTATGTTTCAAAATGGTGGAGCAGCTCTGCCGTATCAGCCTTCTGTACTATTTACATTCACCAGTCACAGCCGTTCAAACGAGTCAGGTTGCACGAACAAGCTGCACTCAGCAGCTCCCCTTCAAGTCTGGAAGAAAGAGGGTACGACCAGTTCTATGAAGTCGTAGAACCAAGCTTGTCGTAAAAAGTGCCTGGGCTTATGGAAAGGGCTGGGCATCGGGAGAACCTACGGTACCGTAGTACCAATGTGTGGCTTATTCTGGCCTGATTATATCTAGCCTTCACAATTGGAGGTAATGAATGGGTGCCCTGAAAGTTTTAGGGGCATGGAGTGAGCGGTGCATGCAGGGAAGAAGAGGGAAAGGGGCGGGGAGGAGGGGAAGGAAAACAGGGATCATGGATAAGCCATGGAAGGATATGGCTTGGTCAGTGCGGAAGGCAAGAGTTGGAGCAAATACTTGTGGAAAAAGGTATTTTCCAGCGCAACGGAGAAGATTCATGTCGACCATGCGAGCTAGAAACAGCTAGATTTCAACTTCCCCCCTGATGGCAATTGGTGCGAAAGAGTCATCGCAACCACACCACCCTCCCTTGACAAAGAAAGAAAACATAACACAAAACAAAAAGTCAGCAAACCAACACTGAAGGAATTGCAACCTCCGCCTCCCCTCCCCCCCCCCCCCCCCCCCCCCCCCCTTCCCATTTTCACTCACCCAGAATCCCCTCGGCAGTGACCCGTTTCCTCGGGTCGACCGTGAGCATGCGCACTACAAGGTCCTTGGCATGAGCCGACAGAAAACAAACGAGAAAGAAAACAAACCAGCATCGGCGGAATCCATTCCCCCCCTTCCACTCACCCAGAATCCCCTCGGCAGTGACCCGTTTCCTCGGGTCCACCGTGAGCATGCGCGCCACAAGGTCCTTGGCGTGAGCCGACACGGAGGGCCATGGAGGGAAGGAGAAGTTGAGGCGCCCCGCCTTGATGCTCTCGTACACGCCGTCCGTGGTGGGCGCCCAGAAGGGCGGGCGGCCGCACAGCAGGATGTAGAGAATGACCCCCACGCTCCATATGTCCGCCTCGCACCCGTACGACCGCTGCACTACCTCCGGTGCCATGTAGAATGGTGATCCAATGCGCTCGTTGAACCGCTCTCCTGTGCATGGGAGGGAGGTCGGGTTACCAGGAGAATAGATGTGACCAGCATTGCTGGGTAACTCTGGTGGAGGTGGTAAGGCGAACGAGACAGCGATTCTGGGAGAATGATACACTCATGGCATGCAGGGAACACTTTTGAGTCGACCCAAAAGCAGACTCATGGCATGCAGGGAACAGGAAATCGAAGCACAATCAGCAAGTCCGGGGTCACCCAAACAACCACGCCAGCGAGCGAGCAGGCAACGAGAGGAACAGCAAGGCGGCTCACCAGGAGCAAGAATCCCCGAGATGCCAAAGTCAATGACTTTGAGTGACACGTCGCAGTCAGGCTTAAGCAGCAGGATGTTCTCGGGCTTGAGGTCGCGGTGCACGATGCCCAGGCGGTGGCAGTGCTGCACCACGCCCACCACCTCCGCCACCACGCGCGCTGCGTTGCGCTCCGGGTAGAATAGCCGCGCCTTCACGCGGTCGAACAGGTCCCCCCCCGCACACACCTCCATCACCATGTGCACGTCCTGGTGGGGCGAGGGGGGAGAAAACGGGGGGGAGAGTGGGAGGGGTCGGGTTGGGTGCTATGAGGGGTCGGGTTGGGTACACGTTGCAGGAAGTCCCCCGCACACATCTCCATCACCATGTGCACGTCCTAATGGGGGGAGGGGGGGAGGAAAGGGAGAGGACGGGAGGGGAGGGGAAGGGAGGAGAGGGGAGGGGAGGGGAGGGGAGGGGGAGAGGAGGGGATGGGAGGGGGAGTGGGAGGAAGAACATGTTGAGTCAGTGCAGAATATGTTGAGTGGGAGGAAGAACATGTCGTGGGGCGACGAGGTCTCCCTAACCCTGCACACATTCCATCACCATGCGCCCGTCCTGGTGGAGGGAAGGGGAAGGGAGAGGAGGACGGTGGGGGAGTGAAGTGGGAAACACGTTGAGGCGATACAGACTCGGGAGAAGGGGGAGAGGGGAAGCAAGGGAATAGCAGGCAGCAAGGAGAGTATATGAGTCCAGACAGAATGGCGGTTGACACGAGACGAGACGAGACGAGACGGTTGGCCTGGTGGCACAGGGGGCGTATGCTTGAGTTGAGGATGCGAGCGCAGGATTTGTGGGTGGCAAGTGGAGCCTGCTTGCTTGGGGTTGTAGCTTGGAGTTGCTTCTGATTGCTTGGTGCAAAGTAGCACCATATTCCATATAATGCTCCAGGTGAACAAGGTGGGTGGTGGAAGCTGACGAGTGTGTTATAGGATGGGTCGAAGAGTGGATTTCTTGGCCGCAAGCACACAGTGTGCTCTGTCTAGGGGCGTTAGGTGCAAGCCATGCGACAAAGGTAGGCAGGAGAACTGAAGGGCAGGAGAACTGAAGGGCAGGAGAACGGCAGAAAGAAGATGGATGAAGGATCGCACGAGATGGCAAGAGAGGCCGGTAGCAGAAGGGTTGGTAGGAGGTGAGAGAGTGAGGGAGGGAGTGAGTGAGTGAGTGATTAAGTGAGTGAGTGCAGGGGAGATCACCTCGGCGTCTTCAAACACATGGAAGAGGTGCACGATGTTGGGGTGGCCCTTGAGCATGCGCAGTATCTGCACCTCCCTTCGTAGATCCTCCACATCTGCCTGACACTGCACGGCACGGCATGGCACATCAGGGCGGATCCATCAGCAGTAGTAGTAGCAGCAGCAGAAGAAGAGGAAGAAGAAGCCACAACAGCAGCAGGGAGGAGAATGAGAATTTAGTGGATAAGGAATGGATAAAAGAGCAGGAGTAGGAGCAGGGTACGTACAGGCTGATAAGCAAGGGTGACGAGACTACAGTGTTCACTCGCCCAACTATCACCACCTGAGAAAACCAACTCACACGCAGGTTCCGCTTGCTGACGGTTTTACAAGCCGCCTTCTCCCGCGTCTCCCTGCTCTCGCACAGGCGAATGCGCCCAAACCGCCCCTCGCCTAGCTCTTTCTTGTGCAGCAAGTACTTGCTCTTCACGTCCTCAAACGGCCCTCCCAGCACGTTCACGCACAGCCCAAACACACGCTCGTACAGACTCGCACTCTGCCGACCCTCCGGCGTGGACGCGTCGCCTTCCTCCGGACCTAGCCCTGCGGTTTGGTACACGGACTTGCTTCGGCGGTGCGTGCCCATGGACGCCTTGCCTGCAGTTGCTCCTGCACCCGCTGCTACTGCTGCTGTTGCTACGGCTGATCCTGTCACTCCTGACACTGCCCTCGTTGCTCTTCCTGCTGTGGCTGTGCCTGGGGTGGCGTTGCCACTGCTGCTGCTAATAGCAGCATTGCCGGATGTGAATGCGCGAGAGGGGTGATTGGGAGGGCTGGGGGTGCGCGATTTGGGTTGCGAGGCACGTGCCTCTCGCACCCCCTGCTGCTGTGGCGACGACTGCTGCTGCTGTGGTGGTGACTGTTGCTGCTGCATGGAGTGTTGTTGCGAATTGATGAGGTCAGAGTGGGAAGGCACTGGCGAGAGAGAGGTAGCGCGCGCCTTGCTCTTGTTCCTCCTCGTCATTCTCTTGCCTCCCCAGCTGCCTTCAACTGGATTCTCTGGAGAGACGGCAGCCAAAGAATCACCACCACCACGACCGGCAGTAGCAGCAGCAGCAGCAGCAGCAGCAGCAGCAGCAGCAGAGGCGGTTGCATCAGCAAAGGAGGTAGCATCCACAGCCATGTCAACGGGCACAGCAACAGGTAGGTGGGGAGCAAGAGAAGCCGCACTGACGGATGAGTGAGACATAATGACAGTCGCCACAGGCAGCGAGCTCTCTGTGAAATCCATAACTGCTACTGGCACTGACACCTGCTCCTGCTCCTGCTGCTGCGTGGACTCAAAAATCACACCTTTCCTGCTGCCACCACCATCACCACCACCCAGGCAGTCGTGAGTGCTGCCTCGGATACTAATATGAGTGCTGCGTGTGCGTGCCACGCCTCTACCCCGCTTCTCCCACACCCCCCCTCCGCCTACTGCTCCCGCACCCCTCCCATTACCTGCTTCCTGCCCGCCTCTCCCCTCCAACCACTCCTCCCCTCCCTCGGTCCCCCCATGCACAATGCTCCCACTGGAATCTGCACTGGTGAGTCCTAGGCGGACGTGAGAGACTGATTTCGCCCGGCTATGCCGTCTGCCTGTCGACTCTGCCCTCCCGCCTGCCGATTCTGGCCGCAACTTTGGTTGCCTTTCCTCCACCTCTGCTCCTCCCACTCCTCTTCCCCTTCGCTCCTCTGTCTCCTCTCTCCCTGCTCCTCTCACCCCTTCCACTCTCCACTCATCAGTTCCTCCTCCCTCCCAGTCCCTCACTCCCTCGCTATCCACCTCTTTCTTCCTCCCCCTACCAGAAACACCAATCCTGTTCGCCCCCTTGCTGCCTCTGCTCTTGCTACCCCCTTTCCTCGACCCCTTACCCTGCTCCTTTTCCCTCCACGACTCTTGACTCACACCAACACCACCACTCCCCGACCCCGTGTCCCTTCTCAAGCCCAAGCCCACGCCCATGCTCATGCTGCGCCTGACTCTTTGCTCGCGCCCAGCCCCATGCTCCCTCTCTGTTGCACCTTGGCGCCTTCCAATCCGGTCGCTGTTCGCCCTCTCAAACACCCCCTCATCTTCCTCTCCCCACTCCTCCTCCCCCTCCCTCTCCTCCAGTTTCTTCCCGCCACGATCATATGCCCACGCATCCCCATTCCCCATCCCTTCAACCTCACCCATCTCACCACCTTCCCAAACCACAGGGTACATGTCACCCTCCTCCTCAGTCCCATTCACCCCTCCTCGCTTCACCCTCGCCTCTCTCCCACCGTCCCTCTTCCCCAGGCTTGCGCTCCTCCCTTCTGCTGCCTCCCACCTCTCTCCCTCTGACTTCCGTATGTCTCCAACTCCCTCCTCCTCCTCCCCTTGCAACGGTCGCCATGACACCCTTACTCCGCCTCGTATACCCCCCTCACCGCTAGCTCTTCGCCTCTCCTGCACACCCATAGACTCACCACCACCACCATGCACCTCTCCTTCCCAATCCTCCACCACATCCCCTGCCTGCCCTTCCTTTTCCTCCTCCTTCTCCTCGTCCCACTCCTCCCCCTCCCCCCACTCCTCCCGCCCCTCCATCTCCCGGCCTTCAATAACATTCACACTCCCCTCCTCCCCTTCACTCTCCCGCTCCACCACACTCCCTTCCTCTCCATCCTCCTCCACACAACCCTCTTCATTCCACACTTTCCCGCCAATCTCTCCCCCATCATCCCGCTCACCAACACCAACACCAACAGCACCAGCACCAGTACCCGCAGCAGCATGTGAGTCGTCCTCTTTGTCATTCTGAGACGCGTCACTACTATCATCATCACCATCCAGCGCCAGCAGAGGGTGGGCATCGGAGCATGCGAGGGAGGCAAGGAACGGCAGGCACTCCAGCGACCGCCCTCTATTGCGTGCTGCCTTTGCAGGGGACCGCATGAACCCAAACAGCCCTGACGGCACCGGGCTGGGCGAACGGGTCACTGATTGCCCTGCTGCCGCCCCAGCACCAGAACTCCTCTCTGCTCCTGCTCCTGCTGCTGGCGATTCTTCGCCCGTCATCCGCCTTCTCACGCGCTCCCCACTTCTCGACCCTCTGCTTTCCACTGCTACGCCGTCCCTCGTCCCTCCGGACCTGCCTGCTGCTGCTGCCCCTCCTCCTTTGCTCGCAAGCAGCGGGCTCAACGGGCGGCTCTTCTCGGATGCAGGGGAGGGAGCAGCCAACGGCCCTGCTGCAGCGCCTCCTCCTGACGAACCTCCTGCTGTGCTTGCCCCACCTTCCCCATCTCCTGCATTGTCGGTTCTAGTACGACCAACCCCACCACTGCCATCCACAGCAGCAGCAGCAGCAGCAGCAGCAGCAGCAGCAGCGGGGGAAGCAGCAGAAGCGGTAGCGGAGCTTTTCAGGCCAAGGGCGGAACGCCAGAAGGAGACGCGACCAGACTGAATAGACCCTCCTGATCGGTCCCCATCCACGCCTCCCTTCGCCTCCTTCTCCCTGCCCTCCCCTGCCCCGTCCCTGTCCCCCGACTTGCACTCCTCCACCTCCACTTCCCCGCGCGCTCTCCCATCCTCGCTCTTCCTGCCGCTGCCTCCTTTCTCCGGTGATGCCCGGCTGACCTCACTGGTACTAGAAGCTCCGTTGCCTTGAGAAGCAGCTTTGATGGGCTCGTTAGGGCTGACAGGGCGGCTGGTGGAATCGGAAGCGCCAGCGGGAGTGTCGGTGGCAGGGGCAGTCGCAGTGGCAGCAGCAGAGACAACAGCGGCGGCGGCTGCGGCAGTGGCAGCGGCGCCTGAGCGGGAGGAGGATCGGGGCCACCTCCACCGAACAGACGACGACCCGGATGCCTTGCTGCTGCCACCCTCCTCAACCCCTCCTCCTTCTCCTCCCCCTCCTGCTCCTGCTGCTCCTGCCCCCTTACTTTTATCACGCACGGAGCCTCCTCCCTCCACGCTCACAGCACTCATGCCAGCTCCTGTTTCGGAGCCCTGGGCCGTACTGCTGCTGCTGGGGGAGGATTCAGGAACAAGCCCACGCCTTCCCATGCGACCACTTGTCACAGTTTCTGCTGCACCTGCTGCACTGGCTGCAGCCGCTGCAGCTATTGCGCTGGCAGCAACACCTTTATTGCCACTGCTGCTGTTGCTGCTCATGCTGCAACGCGCACCGCCACCATCACCATCACCTTCACCAGCAGCTGCAGATCTCACACCCCCCTCCTCTTCCCTACAGTGCTCCTTCACAGCCTCCTCGTCCTCCTCTCCCTTATCCTCTCCCCTCCCATCCCTCACAGCTCGTCCCACCTCCCCACCCCTCTCGTCCCCACTCCCCACCCCTCGCCAAATTTCACCATCCCGTCCCTTCATGCCCTGAAACCGCACCTTGGGAGGCAACGAGCTTCTGGACTGCACACCTCCCAGCCTCTGCTCCTGCCCCTGCCCCTGCGCGTGCCCTTGGAACTGCATATCTTCTACTCTAAACCGAGTGTGGCGGCGCGGGTTAATCCGCCCTGCTGTTTGCGGCCGAGAGGGCTCCTCCAGGACTGCTTCTCTCAGGGACCGCCCTCGGGATTGGATCAACGAGCGCGCCCGGCGCAGGTCGTCTGGGCACTGCTGCTCGCCGCTGCTGCTCCACTCCTCTTCCTCTTCTTCCTCCTCCTCCTCGTTCTCTTCCGCGCCCTCTCCACCACCCTTACCGTCTCCCCTTTTGTGCTCCGCACTCCTCCGCTTGATTTGGAAGGTAGACGGGGCATCCACGTTCCATGCTAGAGATTTGGACCGCACATGCTGCCGTGGCCGCGGGAGCGGCTGCTGCTGCTGCTGCTGCTGGTGCTTCTGCAGGAGCTGCAAACGCTGGTTGGTTCTCCCCTCATCTCTCCTGATCCATTGCTGCTCGCTTGCACCCTCCAAGTCCGACTGGCCTCCTCGCTGTCTCCCTTCTCCCCTCCAACTGTCCCCTCCACCCCCTCCATCCCCTCCTCCACTCACACTACTCCTCGCTCCTACCCCCTCTCCTTCACCCCATCCCTCTCCCCCTCCTCCCCCCCCCACCTTCGCGAGAACCCCTTTGCCAAGGCTATGGCTGCGCCTCACTCGGTTTTTGACTCGGCCTAGCTGCGCCCATTGGCTCTCCAGTCCGCTGCTCGGGTCCAAGATCAGAACATCACCAGCACCGCCACTAGCACCGCCATCAGCACCGCCACCAGCACCGCCACCAGGGCTGCAATTACCGCTGCCAGCTCTCATGCTGCGGCTGCTGTTGTTCCCAACTAGCTCCGTGCACCCATCACTGCTCTTAGACAGCCATAACGACACTGCCTCATCCCGCTCCGACTTACCACCTCCCTCTCCCTCTCCCTCTCCCTCTCCCGCTCACTTTCACTCCCTCTCTCCCAACCAGACACAGAGCCACCCCGTGCCTGAATCCCACCGGGCCTTGGTCCTGCTCGCCCAGGGCTCCTGGTGCTGCTGTTGCCTTCACTCTCGCCCTCCACCACCCACCGTACACGCGACTTCTGCCGCTGCGAGTCCACGACACTAGGGACCTCTCGCGCTGCTCTTTCCGCCGCGGACTCTCCATCTCCCGCCTCTGTCTGCATCTCCCTCCCGCCGCCCTCCTCCGCCTCCTCCTCCCCGTCGGCTGCCCCCGCCCAGCCGATATCTCCGCCCTCTTCCGCGTGCCCCTGCGCGCTCGCCAGCCACTGCATCACGTGCTGTAGCTTGCCCTCCCCTCCCGCAACAGCTGCGCCCATGCTGCGCGCATGCGCCAACCTGCCCCTTTCTTGCGCCACCTGCGCTCCTGCTTGCTTCTGCCATCCCTCCAGCTGCAGCTTATGCTGCTCTTGCTGCTCCTTGTGCTGCACTAATAGCCGTGCCTGTCTGCCGCCCTGCTGCTGCTGCTGCTGCTGCTGCTGCTGCTGCTGCTGCTGCATCATTTCCTCTACTAGTTCCTGCTCCAGAGACAGCCCCCTCAGCTCCGCACTACAAGCAATGCTTCCGCTTCTTCCATGCCGCCTCGCCACCTGCCCGCGCCCCATCCCCTCTCTCTCCCCCCTCTCTTGCCTCCGCGCTGTCCCCTGATCTTGCCGCTCGTCTCGCCACCTCCCTACTTGCCCTTTTCCGACCTGCTCCTCCCCATTCCCCTCCCAATTCGCTCCACCGCCCCATGCCTCCTCCATGTTATACCCCGCCCCGCGGCTTTTCCCCCTTGAACGCTCCTCCCCAACTGCAAGACCTTCCCCGGTACGCGGACGCCTTCCCCCCCGTCGCTCTTCCCCCCATCCTTTGCTTCCGCCAACAAACTCCCCCTGCCCTGCTTCCCCCCTGTCCAACCCTCTCCCCCCGTGCAGTGGGGCGTGTCCGGAGTGGTACGAGCGGAGAGGGGGGAGAGACGCGGAAGGTCCATAGGACACGTGGCAGGAGGCGGAAGCGCCGTCCGCGGGGCCTAGGGGAAGCTCAGCAACACCTATCCTCCGCGCTACGGTTGACGGGAGGGAACGAGCGGATTTGTACCGATGCTGCTGCTGATTCAAATGCGCGCTCGTCCCTTCCCTATCGTCGTATTGCTCCTCCCCCGCCTCCTCCTCTTCCTCCTCCCAATCCGCCGCTTCGACCCAATCCCCCGTTCCCCTCCCCCCCCTTGCTCCTGCGCTCACCGCGCTCAGCGCGTTGGCTCCCCCCTTTCTACGTCCCCCCGCCATCCCGCCTTTCCCTGACATTGGTTCTTCGTCCACCCTATCAAAGACTGCCACGTCATACAGGTCCTCCTCAGTTCCCCGCCGTACGTCCACCGACACATACCTGCGGTGCTTTCCCAAGCCTATTCCCGAACCAGTCGCCCCATGAAGCGCGGTTACAGTATTCCCCGAGCCTAACCCTGCACGTCTACCAGGACCAGCTTTTTCTGCCGCGCCCCAAAAATCACTGTGCTCCGCCGTTTCGCCTCCCATGCGCCCCACCCCCTCCGCGGCCTCCCGCTCTTGCGCTGTCCCCCAATTTCCGCCAGAATTCCGCGCATTCCCCGCGGAAGCTACCTGGTTCCCGAGCCTGAAAGGCGAAGGATCGACGACTCGCGCGTCGATCCAATCAAGGTCCAGATGTTTCGGTTCTGCGTGCGACGGATCCTGAATGAGTACCAGCGACATGGATTTCGTGCGCATGCGGGATGATGCTGATGCTGATGCTGATATTGCAAACGACGAGAATTCCGTGGCACTCCCGCTCGCGCCGCTGCTTAGACGCGCGCCGTTTGTCGCTGCTGCAGTAGCGCGCATAACCTTAGGAACGTCGGTGGCCGGCGGTGCACAGTTACGAAGTTAAGCGCGCTTAAAAATCGTTCCGGTTCCGAACCAAAATAAAACCCCTCGGCGAGTCCTCGGGGCTGCGGCTACCGTCAGCATTACTCGATTCAAGCGAGTCGACAGAGATAGCGAAAGACTCCTCTACAATATAAAGCGTTAATGCTTCATCGAAAAGCATGGTCGAAGTTTAAGTGGAATGAGACGCAGCGCAAAAAATTTAACCGATGAATCTGAGCTGCGAACCAAATGAACCATATGAATCTTGTGGACCATATGAGCCATATGGACCGTACGGTACGGGTCCTTCAATCGACACATACCGTGCGGAAACTTAATACATTATACGAGCGGCAGGGTGGATGGCGGGAGGTAAAACAGTGGGAGCAACTAAACGCTTAGAAGGAAGCCGTCGATATGGCGTCTCAACACCGTGGAACTCGCTTCGAGATTCTCGCCCATGAAATCACAGGAGAGGGTGGCTCAACAGGCGATATGTCCCATGATTCAGTTCAGGATGATAACCTCGAAGCACGTACAGTGATCCCAAGAAAGGATGACCACAAATGGTGCTGCTACATCGAGAATGTATGGTACGAGTCTCAGGTGCTGTTCTTTCAATGCCCGGTAAAGGCAAAGAAAGCACTATGTTTTACGTTCACATTCACATTCTACGGTCTACCTCACTCAGCACGACGATTCAGCAGGGGGTCAGCTGGTCTGACAGAACTTCACGAAGGAGATGGTGGGGCGGAGAGATGCCATGCCATGGACGCACAAAGATTGAACCTAGAGGTCCTCCTCACCTCACCTCGGGGTTGGCGTTTCTGGTGGATGGACAGAGGTTCTCTCTTGTCTTCCCCCCTCTTGCCCCCACCTCACCCCAAACTTCTCTCCCTCTCTGCTCGCTCTTCCCTCCCCTCCCCTCCCAAATTTTTACTACAGATTGTGTACAACCAATCCGACCAGTCTCCGATCTAAAACAGTACAGTTGTGTCTCTGTACAACACACTGTACATTAACTGTAAGGGTTTAGGGTTTCGGGTATGCGACGGGCGGTTAAAAACGATTGCAACTCGAGTTTAGAGTTTGCAGTTCAGTTCAGAACGCTGTCCATTCTCTGTGGGGTGAGGGAAAATGATGACACTGGCATGGTATATCTTGAAAGGCAGCGAATCTCATCACTCTCTGGCGCCCTAAACATCTGGCGTGGCCATAGGGAGACAAAGCAGGATCAGCAGAGAAGGATGGGATTGGATGGGACCTGTTTGATTTGCCCCCATCGTACGGTTGGGAGGAGGAAAAATGTACGCAACAGGTGCAGCATCACACAAGATTCAGGACTCGACGAAAAATGTCGGCCACGATGGCAGGTGGTCCACCTTCATGTTTCTTCCAGGTGGGTGGCCTGACGTCGATTTGATCCCCAGTTGTGTTGCTGGTGCAAAAACACTCGTTTCTTACAGCTACACATGATGCTCGTTTGACTAACCCAAGGTTGTTTTGTGAAGAGGCTTGTAAGTGATTCTGCCCATTTCGCAAAGGTTTCGTAGTTCGCAGCTAGCAAAAAAGGATTCGTCAGGTGCTTATAAGGTAAATGTAACTTCTCCGTTGACATTTTTACCTCAGTATCTTCAGTTTAACTTCGGTCCCTTCGTTTTTATTGGTTCAGAATTGCTGCAACTTGCGTGGGGTGCTTGTAACGTGGGTGCAACAGGCTGGGGAAAAAAAAAAAAAAAAAAAAAAAAAAACGGGTGCAGGCTTTCCGCCTGGTGCAGGGAAAATTCGCGTGCAGGGGTTGAGCATCATGTGTATCCATTCTTTATGGCAAATCGGAATGAAACAAAACCAGCACCCCTCTCTAGCCCAGATTGTGGAGCATACAATGGATGCTCGGCTTAGATAGCGTTCCCACAGTTTGGACGACAAGTGAGTCTGCCCACACGATTCGTGATTCTGCGAAATGGTGTCCATGGTGGGGTACTTCCCCACTTTGGTCACCGGAGTGTTCTACGCCGGAAATTTACAAATTCTGCTACAATCTCACCTCCAATGATAGAGCAAAACATGTTTCACCAACCGTTGTGAGTTCCAGCACCCATTTTTAGGTGTATTTTCTCAAGTGTTTCTGTTTGTTCGAGCATAGAGTTTCCTTTGGTTTCTGTACAGGGAGAGAGTTTCTTCTCAATTTTTAAAACGCTTTCGCCCCAAAATTCATTCGTTCTTCTGCCCTTCGAATGAACTTCCACCGTGGTTTGCGGAATCATCTTTAGACGTTAGATCGAATAACCATGACAGATCTTACGACCCAGAATGTTTGCACACTGGTGTCCAGACCTGGAACCGCAACCATTCGAATTTTGCAACATTGTAAATTTGCGAGTCGCGTAGGCAAACTCACTTGTCGTCCAAACCGTGGGAACGCCCACTTATCACAAAAACATTGCTAATCACAATCAGAAATTTAGTCACACGCGAACGTTTTTTTCCGTTATGTGACAGGATCAAGCATTGTGCAAAATTCAGGGTCTAGTCATCACATTGCAGAACCAAACACCTACAATTCATAAAAAAACAAGCTTTGCTCGACGCATACGTCAACGCCTACGTAACTGGAAATCTTTATGTAGTTACGAAACTTAAACATTGACATTCCACTTTCATTTTAAAATAACAATTTTACCCGTGGCGATAAAGACGAACTGAACGAAATGCGAAAAAACCGTTACACGCACTTCCTGTCAGAATCACTATGCAAGAATGAATGAACTAACAGAAGTTTGGGTACAAATATGAAACCCTAGTTGGGGTTGTACCCCATATTGGCTACCCCACTACAGCCTACAAGCATAATACAGTTTAACACACCCCCATAGGCAAAGTGGGGGAGAGCAAAGGGTCACAAGACCAGTCCAGCAAAGCAACGCAAGCCCAGGGTGGATCACAACGTCACCACACTCCGAGCACAAGCAAAGGCCACAAGGCCAGTTCACATGCAGTACTAGATATAGTACAAGACAAGCAACACAGTGATCAATACCTAGCAAGCAAGCAACAAGATATATATAAAGTACAGTACAAAGAATGTCAAGCAGTGAGCAAGTGAGGAAACGTGGACACAAGGCCTAAAGAAGAACAGTGCCGCTGATGATCACTAGGCGGGAGCGCCTTGGTGAAGATATCAGCAGTGTTGGCCTTCGAGTCCACGTACACAAGCCGAAGCTGACCGCGCTGCTGAAGCTCTCGAGCAAGAAAGTAGCGAAGAGCAATGTGCTTCGTCCTGTGCTCCAGTCTGTGCTCCTGACACAAGGCAAGAGCCGCCTTGTTGTCACCGTACAGAACTGGAGGAGAACTAGGCCGCTCTCCCAAGTCAGTCAGCAGGTAGGTGAGCCAGCGTAACTCCTGTGCAGCCATGGCTGTGGCGTAGATCTCAGCCTCACAACTAGAGCCGAGAACAGAGGAAGAGCGGGTGGACCGCCACGAGACAGAACCAGAGCCAAGGCTGAAGGTGTAACCCTGTGACGACCGCTGCGTAGCCAGGTCGTCCACCCAAGAAGCGTCCGAGTGACCAGTGAGGACAACTCTGTCGCGTCCTCCAAGCACCAGCCCCATGCCTGATGTACTGCACAAGTAACGCAGCACCCTCTTAGCAGCCTCCCAGTGCTCTCGCCTGTGTCTCCCAGGCGCAACGTAACGAGCAAGGATGCTAAGAGGGTACGCGAGGTCAGGTCGCGTGCAAGTCATCAGGTACATGAGGCAGCCTACAAGCTCTGGGTACGGGCCACTCGGCTCTACGGACTCGTCCGAAGGTGGAGCTGAGAGCGAGTGGCTGGTAGCCAGAGGTGTGGCCTGTGGTGAGGAGAACTGGAAGCCGAAGCGCTGAAGGACCTGCTGCACCATGTGTGACTGAGTCAGGGTGATGGTGCGGCGAGCTCTGTCCCGGGTGATCTGCAAGCCAAGGTAGCTACGCAGTTCACCCAGGTCAGTGCAGGTGTGTCTCTTCTGCAGCTCCGACTTCACACGAGCGAGTGCCTCAGTGTCAGCAGTAGCAAAGACCAAGTCGTCGACGTACACGAGAATGTAGAACGGCAGCAGCGACGTGTCTGTGCGCAGAAACAGCGACGGGTCAGCAGTAGACGGCGCGAACCCAAGAGCCGCAAGTGTAGTCCTCAGTGTGTCGTGCCACTCACGTGGCGCCTGGCGGAGACCGTAGACTGGCCGGCGGAGGCTCCACTGGGTACCAGGAGGAAACGACCCAGTAAAGCCAGGTGGGCGGCGCAGCCAGATCTCCTCGTGCAGGCTGCCCTGCAGGAACGCTGTGCTGAAGTCAAGAGAGTGAAGCTCGTAGTCACGCTGAGCAGCAACGTGCAGCAGAACCCGAAGAGTGGTCATCTTCGGGGTGGGGGAGAAGGTCTGGAAGAAGTCGACCCCCTGACGCTGACTGAAGCCTCTAGCAACGTAACGAGCCTTGAAGACAGGCGGAGAACCTGGCGGCCGCTTCACCCTGAAAATCCACATGCCATCGACGATGTTCGCCCCAGGTGGGGGAACCTCGTCGACGTAGGTGCCTGTGGACTTCCAGGATGCCATCTCTGCGTCCATGGCTGTCTGCCACTGAGAGGAGTAGGGACCCGAGATCGCCTCTGCGTAAGTGCGCGGAGTGGGGATGTCTAGTGCATCCGGGTCTCCCTCAGGGGCAAGCAACCAGGCCACGAGATGAGGTACAGCAGCCGCAAGAGAGTCAAAGTCCTCCTGCCTGTCCTCAAGGACGTCCGTGCCAAGAGCACACTCACCCCCGACGGACGGAGGACAGACAGACGCAGACTCTGACTCAGCAACAAGGCTAGCAGCGTAGTCTAGAC